AAAAAGGAAATTGTAGCTTTATTTTTAGTATATTTTAGACGCTATTGGGTTAAAAGCATATATGATTTTAACCCAATAGCTTCTCGATACACACTTCTTTAAATTAAATAAACAGATAAAATGCTACTTTCTTCCTAACCTTTCGTGACTACACTAAACTAATAGACAGTACTACTTAGCGTTCTGGCTAATTATACTTTTATATATATATTTATATATAATTGTAGCAAAGCAATTTTTTCCGCCTTTGCCCAGTCGGGCGACTCTTATTCAATTTTTGTAATTTCTCTTAGGTATAGTTACAGATTCCATGACATTAAGAGCCCATGATTGTACCTATCAAAACACTTACACATACCAGGTATTGCAAAAGTTTGAATGAGAAAACATAAAAGTATTTACCTCAAAGTAATAGTTCAGTGGATGTTTTTGTATTACAACAGGCAGTCATCGGTCATCACTTAAAAGAAAAAATCAGAACACTTTGACACAAAATTAAGCACACTTATTCAAAGACCAATACACGAGAATTAAATTTTTCCTAATCCTTCTTGAAAGTAACGCGTAGAGCACAGTTGCAACGATGTAGAAGCGCGGCTGCTCGGCGGGCCAAACACGTACTAAACTACTACAAACGACTCAAATAAGAAACGAACGAGAGTTGAAAAATAATGCTACATTTCCACTACACGACACGCTCTGTAGGCCTACATTGTTTGTAAAGGCATACCATGCGATTCAACCAATATGCGACTTTAACCACTATTTGTCAAATACGAGTTTATTTTTATTATCTTTCCCTGGAATGTTATTAAACATGTGAAATAAATAAACTCGTCTATTATATATTTAATAATTTTCATCAAAGAAAAAAAAGGCTTTGATTCCTACATTTGTCTCAATAAAAAATACCTATTTCTTAGCGTTCCATGGATTCACCGTGCGGGTGCCCTGTACATACGACTTCGACAGCGCCTGGGAATTGCGACCCAGGAGTAGGTTTAGGGACTACTCCTTGCGTTGTATTACTCCCTCTACCTAACCATATTTGACACGAGCTTAGCAATGCCGGTGCAATCCAAGGTTTTCCTTGTGAGTGTGTTCTTCTTCGCTGTGAGTGCGCAACACGCGTTACAATGGCGAGGGCATCTGGCCATCTGGCCAGCGTGTTTTAGTAGGCCAAAACCTCCTAAGGAGAGGCCTATGCTCAGCTTAGAGGCTATTGATGATGATGATAACTTAAACTAAAACTTTTCTTATTTTGGAGTAGTTTTTGTATTTACAACACATACCTATTAATAAAATATTTACTTTTTCTACGCCACTTTTTCTGCGTGTAGATTTTTAAGTAGGTAATTAACACATTATCTCTTAACAAATAATATACTAATAAAGCATGGTTGAAAAAAAAGGTTACAAAAATTCTTCTCACCTACTATATACCTATGTACCTATTATATTTTTTGTAAAGAATTTTTCTTTTTATTTGTCTTCATATTTTGTAGTTGCGGAACAACAACTGATGGGTGCCCCATGAAGAATTACACAAAGTTATTACTTATCTTTATTTTCTAAAAAAAATAGGTAAATGTATTTAGGTATAAAACTCAGTTATGTACAACTGTATAAGTAAAGGAACATAGCGGTATTGTATTTCAATTGTACATGTATTGATTTAGTATACATATAAGTACATTACATTACTCTGATGATTAAATAAGGAGCAGTAAAAAATAAATTATGACTTGGAGCGTCACGGGAACGCACCTGACTCTGTATAATACCCAATTTAGCCAGCTGCACAGAAGTACCCGCATGGCCCAAACGCGTAGTTACGTACCAGCAGTAGAAAAGATTATTTTATTATTTTATACTTACAATATCATGGTTTTCGTAAAACGTTGTTGTTGGGTTCAATTTTACTTCAAAAAGTTATTTATCTGTGCAGATGGTACTGGTAACTATTTCTGAATGGATAAAATGTCACCATACTTCACAGCATCTTGGGTTAGAAAATCGGCTTTTACATTTTAAATACGATAGTAGAGAGCTGTCCACGCAAAAAAACACTTGATACCATAAGCAACTAGCACCTATTACGATAGGTTGCTACAAATAACGAAAATACAGAGAATGTCAAATTATTAATTAAACAGATTAACGCATCTTAGGTAATATTTTCAATCACTTTCTTATTATTCTTTATAAAGTAAAGTTAAAAAAAAATGCCTAATAGTAGCACATGCCCCAAAAATCACGATCTGCGATCCCCCCCGTTCATAGCTATTAATGCCTGAAAAGTCACGTTTGCCATCAATCTAACACCACACAGTCGAACTTAAGATGGGGCTTCTCGGGCGGCCCGAAACAAACACACTTCGAGCGTAAATGTGATCAAATTAATTACTCATCTATGATAAAGTCTTTGGGCATCGCATTTAAAGGAGCCTTGCGAGGCCCCCCTTTTTTTTCCGTGCGGAAATCCCCTCGGATACCACCTGTCGGTGGCATGTCGGACTCGAACCGACTAAAACTGCACGCCGTCTCGGGTACTAATAGCCGGGGAACCAAGTATACCCTAGAAAGGAAGTCCCTGGTGCCCCGACATACCTCGGGTCATCTACAGACGAGTAGACGACCCCCTCCCCCGTGTGGGAACCCCATGTTCCCTGTGCTCCCTGGAAGCGAGCGCGCTTCGCAACGCGCTCGCCGCCACCCCGGCCTGCTTCTGCTAGGGTGACAGATGGCCTCACCTGTCACCCCCAGGCCTGCGCTTATGGAGGACGGAGGTCGTTCTGCGACCTCCGGCGCCTGAGTCGCCTGCGGTACCTGGCCCGTTCCCGGGCCTGGCGGGCCGGGAGAGTCCTAAACCTCTCCCGGTCCCGCTCCGCCGTCTCCTTCGCGAGCATAACTTGCTCGCAGAAGGAGACGGCAGAGTTCCACGCACTCTCGCTCCGCACGATAGCCGCAATCAGGCTATCGAGCGAGAGAACTCCCACTCCGATGGGCACTCAACCCACGCCGGGCACTCTGCCAGCGTGTGGAGAGCCGTGTCCACGGTCTGGCCATCGCAGTGGTGGCACTCAGGCGTTGGCTCCTTGCGGATCAGACACAGGTGATCCCCGAAACATCCTTTCCCAGTGATCACCTGTGTCAGTCGGTATGAGAGGGTCGTGACGCTTCTCGAGCCAATCCTCCGTAACGGGTCTTACCGCCGCGATGACGGCGTGCCCGACTCGGCCCACGCCTAGCTACGATACTGTACCTAATTCTTAATTTTTTCTGCAGCCAATACTTGAATTCAAGTTGTCGGTTATTTTTGTTACATGTTTGTTGTGTTGTTTACACATGTTTGTATCATCTATCTTCGTGTTTGACGGTTAGACCTAAATTCTAAAGTATGTAGCTAAGTTCTAAAGCTCGTTTTGACATTACTTCTCGATGCTAAGATGCTATGGAACTAAGCTTGAATGAAATCAAAAACTCAACAGAAATTTTGAACAAACAAATATTTGTTAAACAGTTTTACAAATATTTATTTGTTCAAAAAATATATATTATTATCGGACATCTGGCACACAAAGCCATCTAGTTTCAAACTAAGCAGAGCTTGTACTATGAAAGCTAGATTGACTGACAGAATACATATATACTTTTTTTTGTAAATACTATTAAACATAGAAAACACCCAAACTTCGAAACAAACATTTGGTTCGAACAAGAGACACGCAGAGAGCACAGCAGTCGCATACGCTACGACTCCACCACCGAGGCAGCCAGTCTTGTATTGTAATATTGTATCGTAAAATATAGTAGTAGAGTAAAATATAAAATAAAAGTAGTTAAAAGAGCATCGATGGAATACCTATCGATGCAGCCTCGGTGATTTGTCGAATTATTTCATTTTTTCAAGTGTAATATTAGGTCCTGACATATGAAATTGGCGTTTTGTACGTGTATTATTTTTAATAAAATAAATTTAATTAATCAACGTACGCACCGTTGTTATCAATGCACTTTTGCCATCTCATAGGTATCTAACGTAGTGCACAACATGCAGTGTGTGGTCTTGCGTTGTCGTGAAGCAGCAGTGGCCTAGAGCGATTTACCAATCTCGGTTGTTTAGCAGCTAGTTCTTCCTTCATGGTTTGCAGTTGCTGACAATAGATATCTACGGTAATCGTTTGGTTCACCAAACACTCACAAGTAACTTTTTCTGAGTCAATTTTCGTTTAGGGCATGATTTGGGTGGATCTCCAGGGTTCAGCAATTGCGACGAGCGCTTCCGATTAGTCTCCACGTACATTAACCACTTTTCATCACAAGTAATGATTCGATTTAAAATCCCTTTATTATTGTGTCAGTTGAGCAAAGTAAAAATTTACAAAAAATGCACTCCCAATCAATCAATTAGTATTCTGTAAAATTTATAGATGATCAAAACAATACTTTTAAATAATTTTTCAGGAACGTCGGAAGGTGCAGAGGGAGAGCAATACACGTTAAAAGAACTTCAATAAAATAAAAACAAATTAAGTACTTTTATTAAATTGGCTTCAAGATATATTTACTCTATAGCTATAGTTACTCTTAAAGTCACAATATCTTGTGCTTGCTTGTACATTATAAAAATCTTTGTTCGCAACTCGTCAGTCGTCACGCACTTCTTCATTGACCAAATACCTGATACCCAAACTCGTTCCCCGGAACATGAAATGAAATGGATTTAGTAAAAAAAATTGATTAACAAAGATTTATTTCAATTTTATGATAATAATTCAATATGTTAGGAAATACGTGATAAAATATGGCTTAAGCATTTGTATTTTTTGTGGACAATATAAAGCGCCGTGGACGGTCTAAGTTAATTCTACTTACTTTCCCGTAGTTATAGTAATATATTTCAAATTGGTTTTTGCACAATCGACGTTTTACACTACTAAACTCGTCCTATTGTTGCTATGAATCTTTTCGATGTCAGCAAATAGAAACTGAATGTTATGGCTCCTGGTAACAACGAGCGACATCCAGGTCACACGGGCACTATACCCAAGACAAAAGTGAGAAATAATTGTAATGTTCCTCAAGAAGCTGTAACACCAACAAGAAGAGACATGACGACCAATTTGACCGTAAGTTTTAAAAAAGTCTGAATTCATAAATATCACCATGTGTTCTGATATCACTTGTTAAATCTCATCTATAAACACTAGACTATATGTAATAATTAATGAGTACAACTATTACTGAAAAAAAATAACAGCTTTTAAACATTTATTGTTATAATAATGCAATAAATGCTACTAACTATATTAATAATAATAACTTAAATACAGCTGAAATGTTTTTAGTGTATGTACCTAATTATTTCCATATTAGCAATACTTACCAGTATCCTCCTGTCTTTATGATGTAACAAAATATTAGAAAATATTTGAAAGGAAAAATATAACTTTACCCATAATGTGTCCAAAGCAAAATAATAAATGTGTTCTTTGTAAAATGTGCTATTTTAATGCCTATGAAAAATTTAACCCTTTTTACTTGAATATCCTAAAAAAAATCTAATACAAGATAGCATTACATAAAATTGCTTTAAGAAGTCCAATAATGAATGACAATAAGATATATCAAGAGCTTGAACTCTTTCTCAGTAGTATGTTAACATGTGTGAAGTTTGCATGGGTTTATTTTTGGAAACTTGAAGAGTTTAGTGTAATTTGAACTTTTGCCAAGCTCTTGGTTTGTGACACAAGTAATACTACTACTGATCAGATAACTATTTCATTATTTCAATTTAAAAGAATAAACTATAATTTTTACTCTATTCTAATAAATGGAACTCCAGTGAATATTCAAAAAATATTTATTTTACTACTCTATGGGAGGTTGCTTTTCTAAATATAGTCTGCAGAAGGTGTGTTCTTTGCTGGTTTATAATATTATTATTATTACATTATGAAGTCTTATGAACTGTGTTTTGACCATTTTAGACCTCATTAGATTGGGTGCCTGTCTCTGAATACAACACTAGGTCTAACTACAGTCAGTCAAGAAAACCAGCTAATAACACTTCAGATCACGAATTGACAGATTTGGGTAAGCATTGATCACTCTTAATGTCAATTAACCTACTAAATTTGAAAACCATAATTATGCATTAATTTTTAGATAATTCTGTATCTTTTGAGAGTGGATTTGGAAGATTTGTACCAGTGAGGCCGCAGCCACGCGCATTACCACTGCATGCACAAAATCGTGAAAATATTACTGCTGAACAACATGATGATGGTACAGGATCATCAATATCAGGCCACTCTTTACACCCTTATGCACATCAAATGCAGAATGGTATCCAATCCTTTACTTATATGTAGTATAGTTTACAAACTAATACTAAGTTAACATAACTATTTCAATATGTATCAGATTGGTTAGTGTATTTTTTGTCAAAACTTACGGTAATAGCACAGTAAATTCATAAAAATTTAACAGGTGTTCTAGCAGTTACCACCAATGGGAAACGTGCATATAGCTAAAGAAAACCCGGTGTGATATCCACTACTTACACCTTTAGTTACTATATAATACTTAGCTACTTATAGATAGACAATTGTTACCATTATCGTGAGTCCCACAACAAAGTGGAAGCTCCTGAAAGTAAGCAACCTAAGTACGAATCAGTCCCAATGAACGTCCCAGTGTCCCAGGCAGTGGAATCATAAATTAGAAGCTGAAAACCTATCGCAATATTCCTTACAAAACTTAGTTAACTTCGCGAGGTCATTCACCTGAGACCGGAGACTCTTATCACCGAGTTGCAGAATTGATTTGTGCAACGCCATCTGTCGGTACCGACGACAAGTATATATATTGTGGTTTGTGGTGTTATAACACCATTTTTTGAACCTACTACAAGAATTTTGAGACCTGAATTAATAAGTTAACTAATAGCTTAAGATGCATCTGAACTTAATTAGTATAATATATTAAGTTGTTTCAACTGCCTGCCGCCTGTCTATATAATAATAATAAGCTTATCTCTTTACCCTCTTCAGTATTAAGTGAACATACCCAAAACTACATGACCCATTCCGGGGGTGAGGGGGACGCTAGCTTACAGGGGTGGGCTGAGGAATTAAGAAAGTGCATTATACAAACATGCCATTAATTAAGGCAAATATGAACCAAATTAATATTTTTGGCGTTCTATTTGCAAATGACTCAAAATCATATTTATGTATAGCACACGCCACATAACTCTGTGTCAATGATGTCAATGTTCATGTGGATCTATTTCCGAAAGATAACATTAATATTGTAAATACTGTAGTGGCAAAAAAGTAAAATACATATCACGCTTTTGGTAACAACTCCGGACTACTAGGGAATAATTATTGTTATCAAAGAATAGACAGTTCTAGAATTATGTTCCAAATTTAGTCTATTGAAATGGCAAATGACTAAAATAATATCTATAATAATCTAAAGTAGTTCTCAGTAAATCGGAGTTTTAAAAGTAGGAAATCAACTTACAAACATAAACAAATAACAATATTAACAGATTTTTTTAACAATAATGTTCACAACAGTACGTTAGAGCAGATAAGTCACTTAATGTGTTAGAGCGAGATGCACTACTGATCTTGAAGCAGTGCAACGCTTCGGCGGCCAAGTGCCCCCCGTCTCTTTCCATGCGCAGAAATTACCCCTCTAAAATAAAATTTTGCTGCGCTTCTCGCGCGAACTTCGTTGACGCAGAGTTATATGGCGCGTAATATATTACTATGTGAAGACTAGAGGGAAATAAAACTGTAAAAAATGGGTCATGTAGAATGGTTTTTATACTCAAACCTTATTAGGGAACATACCTTTCCCGCATAAGGTTTGAGTACCAAAATTAACTCTTACCTTATTTAAAAGCCAAGATTGTATATTTAATTTACATAATAAAGTAAATGTAAGTTTGCTGAAGGTAACTAACATTGTTTAAAAAACTAGTAAGTATGATGATGAAAAGGCATTTTTTATAATGTTATTCAGGTCTATTATAAAAATATTGTTAAAAACCTATTTTTTTATTGTGGCCTTTTAATTTATTCTAAGGTCTAATTCCGCATTCAAACCATGCGTCAGCTGCTGTTATGATTGTGAATCCAACTACACCAAATGCTGTCACTGGAAATGTGTCACAACCATTTAATGTAAGTTTTGAAAATGTAACTTCAAAAAAAGCTGTAAAATATCGGATAATTTCTATAGCAAAATAATATTTTACACTTTATTTTATAATGTCCATGTATGTGTAATTTATTTTACTATATATTATCAAATTTGATTGTTAACATGAAGCAGGTGAAAAAAATCAACTGGGTTCTAAGGGGTTAGCATTTTCTGCTATAACACACTAACGTTTTAATTTTCAATTAAATTACCCCCAAGTAAGATATTTTAATAGACAGATTAGAACTTTCTTAACTCGGACTTTCTTCTTAGTCTTAACGTTTGTGACCGAATAACCTTAATAATTTTATAATATTCGTATATTTTAGGCTCCAAATCAAAACAGACAAACAAACAATTTAACGAGGAACCTTAATCCATCTCGAAACTTTGACGGAAGCCACGCGAGCAACAATAATACGACGCCTCCAATTTCTAACTCTAGAACTGGAACAAAGACTGTTAATTTAATGAACAATATGTATGAACAGGGACAAGGAAATTTTAATAATGTAAATGAAAGTAATCACGTAAGTAATGTTATTAATCGTGCACTGTTTATGAATGGGAATGGGATGGGAATGCACTGTTTATGCAAACCCTGGCACTTGAATAATAATAATTGGAATAATTCATATAAATAATTTTAGGTGCACAGAGAATCAGCGCGAGCATTAGGCGAGGCTATAGCTGCAGCATGTCCAGACGCAGCGGCAGTAGAACGTCGCTTAGGACAAATACGAGAATACATTCGTGTTACTTCGTCTCTAGTTGACACTATGCGTAATTCTGAAGAAGAGGTATGTATAAGTTTAATTATTTAAAATATACATAGGCCATTATTTAACCATAACAAATAGTTCATCATATTTTTAATTTAGGCATTTGTCGAACATACCAAAGAAGAATATGATGAATTAGTAGAGATGGTAATGAAATTAAAAGAAAGTGAAAGCAAGTTGGAACAAATGTTGGTGGATTGTAAACCAGAAAATGATGAGGTGCCTGTTGAAGAAGCAGGTGGAGTTACTATTGTTGAGTTACAGGCAAGTGATGTTTCTCAAGACAACAAAAGCGAAGCTATCGCAGATAATAATTTAAATATAGACAAAACGTGCAATGTTAAATATGTAGACAACAGTGTTATAAATAATAATTTAAAGAAAGTCACTAATATCGAAAATGAGCAATTGAATAAATCAATGCACAGCATTAAAGTTGATGAAGAAGCTCATCTTCAAGGAGACGGTAATAAATCGAGTGATATTGGATGTTGTGAAATTACTCCCCAATTACCAGTTGGTAATTTGGAACGATTGGAAACAGACAATGCAAGGCAAGAGGACCAACAAACAGACCCTACGAAGGACGACCAGGAGCTGAATGATATGTTGCGAAAGAATATATTGTCATGTGTTGAAAAAATAACAAGAATAGAAGAAATAAAATCTAAAAAGAAAGAAATGAAAAAGCTCGCAGATCAGGTTTTTGTTTGTTAATGTGCAGTATGGCGTGTGTCCCCTCTGTTGTGAGCCGAAAAATCCACAGCATGAAGTGGATGCATTGTTGAAGCAGAAAATAACCACCTTTAATATCCATTTTATCATAATCGACAAAAATCATTTGATACTGATTGTCTGTCAAAGCTGCTTCCAAACCTTAACATAGTTTTTCAGTTTTGATCTTAATAGCTTATTGTTTTAATACTGTTTTATGTGAATACTTTGTGATTTGATAATATGTCAACATTTGTTTAAACATTTTTTAAGTGTTATTAATTTATTAAATGAACTTTTTTTCTTTTTACACTGAGCCCATAGCTGGTATCTATCATTCGGATGTATGTGGCCCGTGTTTTCTTTTGTTTTTAAGTCAAATTGAAAGGGTCACGAAAAAATTTAAAAAAACAAAATAATATGCGAATATCGTAGACTGTATATTCACTCTTCTTTATTCTATTACCTGTTTTTGCCAGAAGCATAATAAAAGACGCTCATATTTTTATCACAACCCGTTTTTAGTATGTAATCATATCGGCTTTTATTATGAAGCGATTGAATTTATTTCGTGTCTCTTACAAATCATTAGTCTTCATTGCCCATAACAAAGTACAGTACTACAAAGGTTTTGATTTTATTAAACCTTTTAAGAACACAGTAAAATCATATCTCCTCAAATGTTTTGTCTTTGTTATTATCCCAGTTTCGTTTGAGTGATCAGTTACTTTAGTTGCTATTACCAACTTTAACGAAAATATGTAAGCTATTGAAATTTTTTCAGCTTTAAAATGGCATATAACTAGGACTGAGTTGTCAATAGACCAGCCACACACGTTATCGTTGGCTATATGTTAATTGTGTTGTTATAACATTAATTAAGTATATGATATCAAAATTTATTTCCAGCAGGATGTAGTGACGCGACCCGTGTCTGCACAAAGCAATGGGTCTACATACAGCGACAATGAGCTCTGGCAAAATGAAATTAAAAGTAAAATGGAACTATCGCAAGTGCGTTTAGTTGCTCTAAAACAGCAACAAAAGAGACTTTTGAAATATCAGGTATTACATACAAGTATCTTTTATTATTGGAATAAAATAATGTTTAAAATGAAAAACTTAACAGTTTCCAATCAAAATTTGTTTATAGGCAGAAGCAAAACAGCAATTAGATGAAATGAATAGAGAAAGGTCGCAAGGTCAAGACATCCAGCCATCTTCGTCTCATGAAAACTTTGCAAGTGGCCAGGTAAAAACACTTTATTATCATGAAACTTATTGAATCAATGTAAATGTTCAACAACATCATAAAACTTATCAATAAGAGTATGTGAATTACTTATCTGTATTTCCCGTATATTTGGTCTAAGGCTTATTAGGTTTGAAATAAGAAAAGGATTGAAAACATTACATTTTAGCCTACACGAAATTGGTCGAACTAAACCCCACAACCGACCCAATGAACCTGAGACTGTCGAACACATGCATTTTTTAAGATCATTGGTTGTCTTTTTATAACATAATGATCTGCAAGAAATCTTGATGTTGTAACAATATAAATTATTACAAAATATTTGTAAGAACTTTTGTGAGTAGTCTACTCACAAAAGAGTCTTTTGTGAGAACTCCGCCCTTCTGGTCACTATATAAATACAGTTCCATTGATTTCAGAATCAAACCCTTGGTGGCACTTACCAACATCGTATGTACGCCGCCAATCAAATAGGTGTAGCAACAACATTACCACACTCGTCCGAGGCTGTGCATGGGCAACAAAATATGTCAGCTCACATAGACACTGATCATGGTCATTCTGGACAATCTAATCATAGTCAAGATGACAGATTTTCGCATAGAGAGACCAATGCTACGGGTAGCGAAGTAAGTACCTAATGTTACGATACGAAAATCTTTGCTATTAATATTCATGTTTCTAACAGAACACAATACATATGACCTCAAGAGTAAAATATATATGTTAGTATTTATTGGCATAGTTATTTATTTTATAACAGTTTTGTAGAACATTTTTGTTTTATTTAATGTATAATTTAAACCACCCAGTTTGTATTTAACTCGCCCTTTTATAAACTCAGAGATTTGATAGTTTGAGTGCCCCAAAGTGTAATAATTTTTAAGTGTACGAAATACACATTGGTATGAATTATTTAAAGGAAGCCACCGGCGCCGGTCGTGATAGTGAAGCTGAGGATGATGAAATGATACTAAATGAACGCAGCCGTATACTTCAGTTGAAACTTAGAGAATTGCAAATGAAAAAACAACACATGGAAAATTTGGTATGTTTTAAAACTTATCTAGTCTAGTAAACTGATGATTCACCCTCAATATTGATATTTCTGTAGATATTTCAATCTAAATTGTACATATGGCATACTCAGTTGCATCAAAATTAGATGTCCTTGTTTTCAAGATAATTTCAATATTTCATAACTGAAACCAAACTACCTACCTATTTATAAACAACTGATGTTTTATGTTTCTTTTTACGATTGTATTAATGCAAACATTTTAAGTACCAATTATCTTAATTAATAAAACACAATATGTAAATTAAACCTTTGGTAGGTTCAAGAATTTCAAAAGCTACAAATGGCCACACGGCTTGGAGCCACACACAATACGTACTCAAGCTCTGGTGAAGAGAGCGCTGACGAGGAACCGCCTCGAAAGTGTAACAAGGCCGGCAGTAATAACAAGAACGAAGATCCTTATAAACTAATGGAAATAAAAGCTATTAAGACTGCTCTTCAAAAAACTAAAGGTCTGTATGTAGTTTTTGTCTTTTAATATTATATGAGCAATAAAAGTACAAATTATAATAGTCAGGATCGATTCAAGTTGTAAAGAGTAGGCATACTTCGAAGGACTATATCTTTATATGTTTATAATAATGTAGTATACTTTCATATTTTTTATTTATTATAAAATCTGATCTTATAATATACGAGGGCGGGTCAATAAGTCCGTGACTTTTGGAATAAAACACAGATTTTTTGATAAATAAATCATTTTATTTTTCAACGTAGTCTCCCTTGAGCTCTATACACTTTGTCCAACGCTTCTCCAATTTTTTTATCCCTTCCAAAAAATATGATTTGTCGAGGTCCTCAAAATAGGCCTTTGTTTGCGAGATGACTTCATCATTGGAGTCAAATCTTTTTCCACCAAGCCATTTCTTCAGGTTTAGGAACAAGAAGTAGTCACTCGGAGCCAAATCTGGAGAATAGGGCGGATGAGGGAGCAATTCATAGCCCAATTCATGGATTTTTGCCATGGTAACTGCACATGTGTGCACTGCACACCCTTGCATTGTCTTGGTGGAAAATAACTTTTTTCTTGGCCAAATGAGGTCGTTTTTTTTTTCAAATCGTCATTGAATCGGTCCAATAAGTTGGCATAATATTCCCCATTGATTGTTCTTCCCTTTTGAAGGTAGTCAATGTGGATTATCCCGCGTGCAACCCAAAAGACAGTCGCCATAACTTTATTGGCTGACAAACCCACCTTGGCCTTCTTTGGCGCCGATTCACCCTTAGAAACCCACTGTTTTGACTGTTGTTTGGTCTTTGGTGCGTTGTGATGGATCCATGTTTTGTCCACGGTTACAAAACGGTTCAAAAACTCCTCCATATTGCGTGAAGTTGTTACACGATTGCGTTTGTGGTCGACTGTGAGCAATCGCGGCACCCATCTTGCGGAAAGCTTTCTCATGCCCAAGTGATCATTCAAAATTGAAACCACTGAGCCATGCGAGATCCCTACGGCTTCTACAATCTCTTGCACTTTCAATCTTCGGTCGACCAACACCATATCATGAATTTTTTCGATTGTTTCGGGTGAAGAGACCTCAACTGGGCGTCCAGGACGTTCGGCATCTTCAGTGCTTGTACGGCCACAACGAAATTCAGTAAACCACTTTTTTACCATTGAAATCGATGGTGCAGAGTCCCTATAGTATTTATCAAGCTTAGCCTTGGTCTCGGTAATGGTTTTTTTTTCGCAAAAAATAATTCTTAATAAGCACACGAAATTCACTTTTTTCCATTTTTTCCTCAATTTACTGGGTAGTCTGATAAAGAAAGCTGTCAAACACAAACTAACTGACGCAGCAAGTTCAAATTTTGACAGGAGTCAACTGACAGATGCCTGTTGACAGGAGCAGTGTTGCTTTTTCAGTAAAGAGGTCAGAAATTCAAAAAGTCACGGACTTATTGACCCGCCCTCGTATAAGAAGATTCTGTTATAATATTTTTTCTTTCAGATTTAATGAGATCTGTTGAGACATATGAAGCAGAAAACCTATCAGCCGCCAATGATGATTCCTTCAGAGAATCGCATTCAAATATCCATGACAAGTAATATACTATTGAATTTATTACTAGCTAAATGCACTTTAAATACAATTGCTAATAACAATATTTTAGATGTGTGTAAAACCATTTCACATTAAAAAAGTCGCATTATGAAGTTTACATTAGATATTGGCAATAAAAATGACAAATCTGGGTTGCAAATGTGTTTACAGTAGAGGTAGAGGGGTGTGAGGGGCGAACCACCATCTTTCGCCCCAAGCCAACCTCACCTGCCCGCGGTGCATCCTGCTGAACGACGAACGAGGCTCTGGCGACCGACCGATGGCGGTATATCCATCCCAATAGGCGTAGCTAAATACAACAGGCCGGTGACGGGCAGCAGCGTTACCGGTGCGACAAGCTACGCCCTGCGATCGCCAACCCGCCTGCCCAGCGTGGCGATTATGGGCAAACCCCTCCCATGCAGACGCAACAAAGGCCACGGCCCCCAGTTCCCGGCGGCCCCGCTATTCCTGGTCATGGTGGCGACCTCGGTAAAGGCGGGGCAGGGGGTGCGAAGAATCTCCGGGCTACGGGAGGCCACCACAACCGACTGACCCTGGCTACGTACAACGGACGCACGCTACAGCTAGACTCGCATCTGGCGCAACTTGAGGTGGAACTTGGGAAGATTAGGTGGCATATCCTAGGGCTATGTGAAGTCCGAAGAGAGGGGGAGGACACCATAACCCTCGAGTCAGGCCACCTAATGTACTTCCGCGAGGGAGACCAACAATCCCAAGGTGGGGTTGGGTTTCTGGTAAATAAGTCCCTATCTGACAACGTTGTGGAAATTTCCAGTGTGTCGAACAGGGTAGCGTACCTCATTATCAAGCTCACCGAGAGGTATAGCCTCAAGGTTGTGCAAGTGTACGCACCGACCTCGGCACATTCGGACGACGAGGTGGAGGATATGTACGATGACATATCGAGGGCCCTCCACTTCACAACTAAGACCCACTACAACGTTGTTATGGGTGACTTCAACGCTAAAGTGGGAGTACAGAATTGCGGCGAATCGGTAGTAGGATCCCATGGATTTGGAAGCAGGAATCATAGGGGGCAAATGCTGGTCAACTTCCTCGAACGGGAGGGGCTGTTTTTGATGAATTCTTTCTTCAAGAAACAGCCCCAAAGGAAGTGGACGTGGCAAAGCCCCGACGCTATGACCAGAAATGAGATCGATTTCATCATGACGGATAGAAAGCACATATTCAGAGACGTCTCAGTGATCAATAGGTTTAATACCGGTAGTGATCACCGACTTGTCCGGGGCTCTCTGAATATCAACTTTAAGGCGGAACGTGTCTGTTTGATGAAATCCAGGCTCCGACCAACTCGGCTCCAAGCCATGACAGGATCTGAAACGTTCCAGTCAAAACTGGAAAACCGATTCGCTGCCGTGGAAACCACAATCGACGTAAACCAGAACCTCAAAAATGTGGTTCAGATCCTCAGGGAAGAAGGTATGAGATTTTGTGAAATGCAGCGTAAGGGCAGGAAGTCGAAGCTTTCAGGAAGGACCCTAGGGCTGATGAAGAAACGACGTGAAAACCCACCTGTCACTTTGTCGGCAAAGCGGACTCTAAACCGAGAGATCAGTAAACTCGTACGACACGACCTCCGGTGCTCCAATACTCTTTCAATTGAAAGAGCGATCGAGCAAAATCGGGGGTCAAAAGTGTTCGTACAATCTCTTGGAAGAAGCCACCTGACAAAGTTGACTACAGAAAGTGGAGAAGTCGTTGCTTCGAAGCCGGCAGTCCTTTTGGAAGTGGAAAGCTTCTATGGCCGGTTATACGCTTCGCATGCATCTCGACCTGATCCCGAAAATGAGGACTCTAGAGCCACATTAACACGTCACTACACCGAAGACCTGCCAGAAGTTAGCATTGACGAAATCGAGATGGCTCTAGGACAGCTGAAAAATGGAAAAGCCCCTGGAGAGGATGGCGTTACAACAGAGCTGCTGAAGGCCGGGGGTAAACCCGTACTAAGGGAGCTCCAAAAGCTCTTCAACGCTGTCCTGTTTGAAGGGAGAACTCCAGAAGCGTGGAGTAGGAGTGTGGTCGTCTTGTTCTTCAAAAAGGGTGACAAGACCAGGTTGAAGAACTATCGACCCATATCCCTTCTAAGCCACGTCTACAAGCTGTTTTCGAGAGTCATCACGAACCGTCTTGCGCGAAGACTCGACGAATTCCAACCACCGGAGCAAGCTGGGTTTCGGAGCGGATATGGCACCATAGACCACATCCACACAGTGCGGCAGATTATACAGAAGACCGAAGAATATAATCAGCCCCTGTGTCTAGCATTCGTGGACTATGAGAAAGCCTTTGACTCGATCGAGATCTGGTCTGTTCTGGAGTCCCTGCAGCGTTGCCAAGTAGATTGGCGATACATCAAAGTGATGAGATGTCTCTACGAAGCCGCCACCATGTCCGTCCAAGTACAGAATCAGCAAACAAGGCCCGTACCATTGCATCGAGGAGTGAGACAAGGGGACGTTATTTCCCCGAAATTGTTCACAAATGCAATGGAGGACATGTTCAAGACGCTGCACTGGAAAGGGCGTGGCATCAATATCAATGGCGAATACATCTCTCACTTGCGATTTGCAGATGACATCGTCATCATGGCAGAGACGTTGCAGGACCTACAGCAAATGCTGAATGACTTAGCTGACACTTCTGTACGCATCGGCCTACGGATGAACTTGGATAAAACCAAGGTCATGTTCAACGAACATGTACTACCGGAACCGATTGCGGTACACGGTGCCGTTCTCGAAGTTGTTCAAAATTATGTGTACCTCGGGCAGACATTGCAGTTAGGTAGAAACAACTTCGAGGACGAGGTGAACAGAAGAATTCGGTTGGGTTGGGCAGCGTTTGGGAAGCTACGTCGAGTCTTCTCATCGTCGATCCCACAGTGCCTTAAGACGAAAGTCTTTAATGAGTGCGTCCTACCCGTCATGACATACGGAGCTGAAACGTGGACACTTACGGTACGGCTGGTCCACAAGTTCAAAGTCGCTCAACGTGCTATGGAAAGGGCTATGCTCGGCGTTTCTCTAAGGGATCGCATCAGAAATGAGGTGATCCGGCAGAGAACTAAGGTCACCGACATAGCGTACCGGATCAGCAAGTTGAAGTGGCAGTGGGCTGGCCATATTAGCCGCAGAACCGATAACCGTTGGGGAAAACGAGTTCTTGAGTGGAGACCGCGTCTCGGCAAACGTAGTGTAGGACGCCCACAGGCCAGGTGGAGTGACGATTTGCGCAAGATGACTGGCAGGAGCTGGATGCGAGAAGCCCAAAATCGATCTAAGTGGCGTGCAATGGGAGAGGCCTATGTCCAGCAGTGGACTGCGATAGGCTGATGATGATGATGATGATTACAGTAACTGCTAAACAATAAACTGGTCGTATTTATTTTAGTGCTTTAGAATTGTAAACAAGAAAAGTGAAAGCTAGCTCTATTTCTGGTATTTTCAGTAAATCGGAGGGTGGTGGTAGCATGGGTGGGTGGTCTAATGAAAGCAGCATGTGTCGTGTGCGCAACTCGCTGCCGCAACGTCATAAGTTCACCAACGAACAGCACTCGCAACAACACACGCAACAGCATCTTGTGCAACAACATCAGCAGCAGCAACAACAAAGTATGTCCCAAGTGACTTGTAATGTTGGCTCAAAATTTAGTTTAGTTTGGTTGGTTATTTTTTATTTATTGTTTTCAAAATCTTTCAGGTCATGAAGCCAATATTGCTACTTTGCAAGAATTAGCTCAGGAACTGCGCCTGGAAACAGAAAAAATAATGGGCGAACGCGCGCGTATCAAAGACATGATGTCTAATAAAGGTAAGTTTTATTTGTAAACAGGTTTATGGGACAAGTTTTATAATAATAATGATTTATTTCAATTGTTTTTTTTTCATATTATGTTAGGAATAGTTTGCTTACACAATATGTTAGTATAAATTATAATTATTATGACCAAAAAAAAAAACAAATGTAAAAACAATTTATATGAAATAATTAGGAACAAACTGACCATTTAAGTTTAGAAAATTGAGTAAAAAAAAATGAGAATCGTCTTGACGTTATAAACTATGTAATAATTTAATTCCTCCCTTTTGTGACGCAAGCGTCCTATTTTATGAAATGTTTTAAAATATTTTAAAGAGTCAATCAATAAATGATGCATTATAGTATTGTAAAGTTAGGTACCAACCATATACAACTTAAAACATAGGCAATAAACCAGGACATATACAACCTAAAACTACGCGATTTCGCCGATAGCAATGATACAAACGATAGCAAATGTTTTTTCTATCTTCTAAGAGTCTATCTTATCCATTTGTTCAAGAGATCGAAGATGGAACTATGTAAATTTGTGGATTACTTTTTGCAGCAGAGGCAAGTCGTAAGCAGAAGAAAGTAAACGAAGAGGTTCGCGCCGGTCCGTCGGGCGCTCCTGGTCCTGCCGAGAGGCGCCAGATGCAGCTGCGAGCGTTACTTGCTGATAAGCAACGAGAGCTCGAAGCTCTACTCAATAAAGAGGTTGTTATCAAATAATTACTAACATTACTTTCATTTTAGTGGTATATATATATATATATATATAAATAGCATTGCGATTTTAAGATGCACTTGTGTCCTTAGTATACAACACTGCGCAGTGGTAGATCTTAGCTAATCTCTGATTTTCCTAGGATAATACTTTGTAAAGTGTAGTTTCATAACGGTACTTTTCTCGGAAAGTCAATTGTCGAAATAAAAAAATATATTATTGGTATTTCTATGGTATTTCCAAAATCATTCTGATCAGGAACTTGTTAGTTATTAACTGCTGCGGTAGGGGATAGGATGACGGCCTGGATGGGCCGGGGGGGGGGGGGGGCTAAGCCAAGGCTTCTCGTGGGATAGGGCCTAGTTAGGTGCGGCGTCGATCTGAGGGGGACCTAAAATCCCATGGCCCGGGTCCTCCCTAGAGCAGGGCGCCTAAGGCTGGCTGTTGAGGTGGTTTTTAGTGAAAACACCACGTACTCCTGACTCCTGTATCCCCAAAGAGCCGGAGATCTGAAGAGATTTTCCACCCCGTCACTAAAAAAGAAAAAAAATATAGTTTAAAAAAACAAAGAACACGCTTTCTATAGAAAACCAAACTAAAAAATTGAAAATAAATTTGAAAAAAAGCGTTGGGTGCCTGTTGTCAAAAGTAAAAAGCACTAACTTTTTAGTTTGGTTTTCTATAGAAAGCGTGTTTTTTAGTTTATTAAAACTATTTTTTTTTTAATTAGTGTATTGTCATCGGTCCTCGATATATCTACAAAGTTTGAACGAATTCTGACCGTTTGAAGTCAGTCAAAATCACGCCCAGAGGAGTCGCTTACAAACATACAAGTGAAGCTAATATAAAGCGTGTAAAAAAGTTTACTTATAAAAAAGATAAGCTCAGATTTGAGTCTTATTATTCTCTTTTTTTTGTTTGTTTACGTGATAAGAGATAGTATGCTTTTAATCACGCCTTTTACCGTGCTTTTTATATTGCCGTATTTGTAAGTATAGGAAATCTCAAGTATTAAACTTAGTGACCGACCGAAGGCCAGTTTCGACCAAGAAATCTAGCTTCGGGATTCTGCAAAAATTGGTCGAAACTTACGGCCGCACCGAAACTCGGTGTTGGTAAAGTCTTGTGCGTCGTTCGGTTAACTTCGCGGCTGACTTGGGGACACCGGCTCCTTTTTAGTTCGCCGCCGTACAGTGTGATCTTTTTTTGTTATGGTGTATGGGGGCAAGCGAGTAGACGGATCGCCTGATGGTTAATGACTACCGCCGCCCATGGACACCTGCAACTTAAGAGTCACAAGGTGAAAAGCTCAAAATTTTTTGGAGTAATGAGTGTCATTTTGTAACACGACACGATGTTAGATGTTTTGTTTCTGGATACTTAATTGTTGTTGAATTACATTCTGTACCCCTATTTTACCATCTTTAACCACTCAAAAAACACACACTATGTGTGACTTACATTTAACTATGAAAAAACACGGTTAGTCCGTTCAAGTTACCTAGTCGACTGACGAGGTAACTTGAAAAGACGAGGCAAGGTGACCTTGCCTCGTCTTTTCCTGCCTATCGCGTGAGGTAAATATCTATTTAATTTCGATACGTGAATTTCTAGTAGGTACTCATTACCTACCTACCTGAACAGTTTTTCTCTGATTCAGAATTAATGCCGTGTGTCGACTCTAGTCTAAAAGACTACACTAGATATCAGCATATAATCTAAACTTTGGTTTCGGTTACGGTTTCAGCCAAAACTGAAACAAGGGCTGAAAGTTCGGTTTCAGTTTCGGCTAATAACTTGTTTCGGTCGGACACTAATTAAACTAGAACAGTGTAACCATAAAGTGCATAATTTGATGTATCCTCGCTGAGAGTTGATACAATCATTACTAAAGAAATATATTTACGGTTAAAAATATTTATTTTTTTCTTAATTTTACAGAAAGTATTATGCTCTGGCCCTGAACCCCAGAAGATTAAACCAGAGTCTCGCTCCGCTTCGGTCGTCAATCAATCATACAATAGGTACAGTTTCACCTTACAACATAAATTGATAGGTATACAACCATATCTTTAATGACCTTCTGTTTCTGTGATTGCAGTGAACAAGAACACGTCAGTGAACCTGAATCCAGATCTGAGCAAATACTATTAGATTCCCAAGATTCGAGGGAAGCTGAAAATTTCAGGGTAAACAATTTTTGTATATATTTATATCGAATTTGAATACAGAGTTTGCTGCAGTGAAAACAGCTCGAAAGACCACAAACATTTTAAACAGAAACTCGTCGATGACGTCGGCTAAACAAAAATGAGAGTTATTCAGTTATGTTCAGTCACGTGTGTGGCAATATACTTATTGCATACTGAATATAAAACTTACGATACAACCATATTTTTACCAATACTTCGACTTTTCTTAACTTTCGTCAGCAATTTTTTAAAAGTAAAGACCCACTCAGCCTACTGGCTTTATCTTTTGGGTTCAAAGCAGTACAACCAAGTTTCGTCACCTGTTACGATATTATAAACAGCCAATGACTCCTCCGGTAAACTTTTTTATCATTTTACGGCACGGTTAAATCATGCAGTATCCAACGAGTGCAAAGCCGCCGAACCTTCAGGTGCACCAGTTGATAACATCAACTGGATTGGATCAAGTCAATCAGTTTTTCGTTTAACATGTTTTTTCTTCAAAGCCTGTAAATGCTTTTAAAAAAAAATTTCTCACCCGAATTTTGCACCCGTACGACAAGTACACACGACACGTTTAATTTTTATCAACACGTAATCATCTCTAGAAAACACTGACTAGTGCTAGGCTACTTAACTAACATGTCATTTGTATTTTTGTCTGTAGGGAGGTGGCGATAGCGCCTTGGGTGGTAGGCCGGCACAATTACCACCTCATTTGGGCAGCGCTTACGGCAGTGACACGGACAGGTATGATATTGATTTTTGTCTAAAAACTTGAACTTACACTATTTATATAAACAAGTTAAAGATTCCAAACAACATTTTTACTATAGATTTATAATTTTTCAGTGCATCTAGAAATAAGTCAAATCAAAGAAACCGCCTGAGACGAAGACAACCCCAAGAGAGACAGACGGAGGAGAATACTGTATGTTGTCCCTATGCACCTAAAGCTAATAATTAGTTCTTCATTAGGCACCTAATCAATTATATTCCTTTCCAGGCAACTCAAACTAATAATACGAACCAAAATGTTCGCCATGAGCCAAGAGTAGAGACATCCAACGTAAATATGGTGCCACCAATTTCTCAAAACTGTAAGATATTTCCTTTATTTATTTATTTAACGATATTTACTTTGTCCTTTATAGCACATTCAATTGTTAAGAAATTTATTAATTCTTTTGTCACTATTTAGCACCATTAGGGGCCATTAATAAACTATATTACACGTTAAGAGGGGGGGGGGGGAGGGGGTCGGCGAAGTGTGACAAGGGGGTCCTAAGTTTCTCACAAATGTGACCAGCTGTGACAATTACTGGGGTGGGGGTCAAAAAACCATGAAATTCGTGTGACGTAATTTATGGATGGCTCTTTAGTTGAAATTTATTGTCCAGCCGGATAGGAAGGGTAGTAGAATATTCTTAGGCCAGTATTTTAAAAGGTTATTCAGTCGTAAAGTTTAAAACTAATAGTATAGTCGTTAGAGATACTATTATAATGAAATTGTGAAAAGTCTGCATTAATGTGTGCAATTTTTTTTATTCAAGGTCAAAGTTCGCAAAAATGTTTATTTTTTATTTTTTTAATAGTTAATTACTAACGGTTAATTTGATGATAAAAATAGGTCAAAAGTAGATCATGCTATTATCTACGAAATTGTCCTTACACTTTAGATTCACAATTTTTGAGAAAAACCGATTCTAAATTTATTAAAGCTGTATTCCCCATAATATGCGTAACTACATGGAATGAAGATGGAGAACCAACAGGATGAGTCCTAAGTACTTCATGTATCGGCCCACCTGGACTTCAGCTTCACCCACCCGGAGGCGTGAGCTGAGTGGTTCCTGGCGCTTACGTAGGCCATGGAATCATATCGCCTCAGTTTTCTGAGGCGCCCTTAGACCCAGCTCATGAATCTTTCTCACGACACAAGCCACCCCATGCTCGGCGAGCCTAAGCACCTCATCGAAGTGTGACCCTCTAGCCAGTATTAAAGTGTCGTCAGCATAGCAGACGACACTGAGGCCAGAGGGCAGACGGGTGCGACGTACCACATCATATGCGAGGTGCCACAACAAAGAGCCTAAAACAGAACCCCGGGGAACCCCGCAACACACCTCTCTCCGATTTTCCACCCCGTTCCGACCGATAAACTTCACTGTCCTATCCCGCAGATAGGCCCCAATGATGGCCGCTCTACCTGCGGCACCTCATGAAATTCAAGGGCCGCCCTTATCGCCTGCCAGGGGAGGGTACCGAACGCGTTGACGATATCCAAACTGGGCCTCAGGGCCTACTCGCGACAGGTCCCTGCTGATACGATCGGAGATAACCCCTTTCAAAGAGTTTCCCCGACTCGTTCAGCAGGCATATCGGTCGGAACGCAGAGGGGAATCTGCAGTCCTTCCTTCCTTTTTCAAGAGCACCAGTCTCGTTTCTTTCCAGCCGAGGGGAAAGACACCGAGGCTAAGACAATCTGTGAAAATCCGCCTCAGTTTGTTCCCCAGTACCAAAAGAGCTATCACTAGCGCCCGACCTGGGATACCATCAGGTCCGGGCGCAGTGTTGTGGGAAGCCAGCCGCCGCACGACTCGGTCCAGCCCTGACTCCGTCACCTCACACTCGTCGGACCAGAGTTGCCGGTCCGATTGTAACCGACCAACAGCCATTCGTCACTCTCGCCTTAGGCAACCGCTTCTCCTCTCTGGAAATTGGTTGTCCGTTGTCCATTAAGCCAATGTCGTTGGTAGATCCGTCCGTTGTTGTCGGTTGTTTTCCTGATTTATTAAGTTCCATATTAAATCCCACGAGTATGGGGGAATTGAAGTCCATCAGGGCGGTGCCCCCTGCACCCGGATAAGCCTATATACTGTGAAGCTCGCCCGGCGGTATCCACAGGTTTTAACGACTTTGCTGTCGGGTATTATAGACCGTCCTTGTCATGGGTCAGCCAATAAAAGCAAGCCACCACAGTTGGGTCGTTGCTGAACCCCTGTTGGTTACGAAATACAAGAGGGTGGCTAACCCTCCCTCACCGGCGGCAGCACTAGTGCTTGTCAGCCCCTGCGTAAGGATCCCACCGGATCCTACCTCGGCCTCTGCCCACAACCCCTTCGCTCGTCCAGTCTCCCAGGAGTACCGAGAGCGATTTACCCCCGAAAGGGAAGTTATTGACCTTCGCCCAGAATGCACCGGCCCCCCAAGTAACACGGCGACGCACGTGGAGGCATCCCATTTTTAACTGACCTATTTTTATTATAAAACTAACCCATTTTTGCTTGACCTTGCAAAAAAAATTTTGCACGCATGGGATCGATGGGGACTTTTCACATTTCATTATAATGGTATCCCTAACGTTCATGCAAAAATTCAGCTTGGGAATTTATGCAAGGGTGGTCATATTTTTAGGGCTAACTTAACCGCACGATAAGTAGAAATTTTATTATTGAACGTCAGTTAAAACGAGATTCACCGATCCAAACTCGTGAGTGTTAGCCACTCAAGCCAAGTTTCAGAACAATGTTTATGTCGAAATCTTCATAAGCATAAGCATAGTTTGTCAATTCAACATGAGAAGTGTTGGTTAATATTTGTAATTCAGTCATTTTTATTTTTATTTCTAATATACATAATTTTATAATATATTCAAATTCACAGAAATTATGCTTGTCACCGAATATTTTTTTCCACCACATGTTCCTCACAGCAAAATGTTCATTTCCATTACTTGGATAATTTGCACTTCACCACTGTGCGCTTTTTAAGACACTTTTTGCCTCGCTCAAGCAATCTGTAGAACAAGTTACCGTCTGCGGTATTTCCGGACCGACAGCACGTTTAAGAAAAGAGAGTACTCCTTCCGTAAAGGCCGGTACCGCGTCTGTAACTATGTGAGTTGCAGGCGTTTATCGGCGGCGGTCACTTCCATCAGGGGACCGTGTGCTCGTCTGCCCCTCTTCCATAAAAAAAAAATATATTTATAATTAGCTACGAGATCCTAATAATAATATCGATCATGCAGAAACGTGATTGCGAACAGACTGTAAGTTCAATTTCGTGCTTGAAATTAGTTTCAACTGAATAAAACTCATAAACGCATTCTATAAGATCGAAGCTTAAATTTTGATCTGAGCGCCTAGTGTAAATTTATTTCACTTCTACTCGATCGTAACGGTGACCGCGTTCGGTGTTGTGATTGGTCCGAACTAAACTCTTCACCAATCACGACGCGGCACGAGGTCACCGCGACGATCGAGTAGAAGTGAAATGAATTTACACTGGGCCTAGTGTAAATTTATTTCACTTCTACTCGAACGAACTCGAACTTAAAACTAATTTCAGATAATCAGAGTTCAACCGATACTTGAGACGTCTTTCAAAATACGGGCTTTAGTTTTTTTATCAGTTATAAATAGTATTTACTGCATATCCAATAATAATGTACTGAATTTAATGATTTGTGTTCAGTAGGCGACAATCCCGCCAACATGCCGTACCCGCATTTGCCTCCTCCTTGCTGGAATACAACTAAATCCAATCAGGTAATTACCAGAGGGTATACAATATCTACTTTATCATTTCTATTTCCCTTTTTGTAAGATAGTAAAGAATTTTTTCTTTGTAATGTATTAATTAAATTGTGTGTGTGTGTTTTTAGGACATGCGTAACCAATTCACTCAAAACAGCCACTCTCAAACCATGGAGCGTTTGTTGGGAACCCCACAGCTATCATTCCCACCATCTATGCCCTTTAACATGATGATGCCTTACAGTGAGTATGCTTTTTTTATTCCGGTTTTTGAAAAGGAGGAACCGGAAGAGGATTACTTCAATATATATGTTTGGTTGTAAAGACGGTTGTCTCAGGAACATACATTTGGCGTTAAAAAATATTTTCAGAGATTGACAAAGTTTATGCGATATACATGTCAAGTCTCCTCCATCAGACTTAAAGAAAAGGAGATATTTTAACACGTTTATAAAACGTTTTTTTTATATTTACGAGTATACTATTTTATTCCTTTTGACAAATGAATCGTTTTTTTAGGTATGGTGGGTGGTTGTGGGTGTGGCTGTGGTTTCTGGGGCGCGTGGTGTTGGCAACAGCTTGTTATGCAGCAACGAGAAATACATCAACTTCGAGATCAACTGAATCATGTAAGACACTTCAACTATTCACTTTTCACGGCTAATAGCGCCCGATTCATACGTCTCTGCCTTACTTTTCAGAATCTCTAAATTTAATATTTGTGCTACCAAAATAAGTATAGTAATATAAAGGAAGAAACAAAAATATATTATGTTTCCTTATATTAAATTTCCAATTGCGTGTGTTTTAGTTGGAGGAACGCTGGCGCGCTGAAACAGCATCGCATACTTTGAATAATCAAGTGCCACCTGGAAATAGGGCTAATAATTATTGGGACAACTTCCGAAGGTAATCATTACTATTTTTTTTTAATTTTGTATGTATGTAAACTATTTGTTTAATATGATTTTCTCTTTTCAGATATTAGAGAACACGCATTTTTTTTATAACTTATTTTGCTATTGTTTATCTAATCGTATATATATATTTTACTTACAAGTATTAAAGTCATTAAGGGTGAGAATCATTTTTGCCCTCAAATTTCATTTGACTTAATTGATACGTTTTCTTTTGCTTTCATTAATATAAAATTACTTGTATTCGCCTGTGCGATAATACTCTATAACGTGTTCTTACTAACATCTCTTTTAGTGGAATGTAATGGTCGTGTTTTTACTATGAATCCAAAATATAATTAAATTGAAACATTAAGCATCTAATTTCTTCTTTTCCAGCTATTCTCGTCAAAATCTTCTATCCGCTAATAACAAAGCAAACTCAGACGGTCATTTAGGAGTTGGTCTCGCTCATAATCCGCATCCTTTAGTTGAAAGATCTCATAACACATTACATCATACTCCCTCTGCCACACCTCCCTGTATTACACCGAAAAGAAATACCAACGCTGCTAGTTCATCGCAAAATGTAGGCCAATCCTCTCAGGCAAATAATGAGGACTTACCCAACAGGCATTCGCGTCGAAACGTTGTATACGAGAGATCACTGTCATTTTCATCAGCACCAGACGTGTTAAACGTCAATCAAAATCTCGAAACTGACGTCACTACAGCATGCCATTCGAGGAATATCGATGACAATAACGTGACTAATCTATCCAACATTAATATTAACCGCCAAGAAACTACATCCAATTCATTTAGAAATCTAAATATTACGAACCCAATTCCTGAAATCATCCAGTCGCATTCTAATAATTTAAATACCACTGCTAACAGTAAAAAGAAGTCTTCTTCAAAACTACCAGCTAAAAACTCAACAAATAGACGAAATTACACTTTGGATTATTCACAAATGAGCAACATTAACATTGCTAGCTCTTCCGAAACGCCTAATCCTAATTTAGCGTCAACGAGTCGCGAAGGTCAAGATAAAGCTACGTCGAAATTGTTCGATCTTCTCAGAGAAAATGTATATTCTGAAGTGACAGCTCTGATCGATGTGAACGAATCACACCCAGATTTCTTGATACAATTGTTTAGAGAATTGCAATTGATTAGTTCTGATACTTTACGACAAAAAGTGTTACAATCCATACGTAACTTGTTATCTCAATATAGTTCCTTACTAGAAAATCAAAGTCATGACAGTGCGCTTGAAGAAAATAGACAGGAGTCTGTCTCAGCAACATCCGGAGAGCCTGTAACTTTGAACGAAGCTATCTCGCTGCAGAATATGTGTGGTAACCCAATACAAATTGATAACAAAATAGTTCGCTTCTTACTGTTAAAGAGTGACGAAACCTGTACTACTGAATTTTTAGAAGCACTAGCTTCGGTCATTTTGAGCAGTATTACGGATGGAAGATATCTACAACAAACCAAAAGAAGGCTTGTAGAATTTCTATCCAAATATGATGGCATGCGGGTTTGTGACGTGTCAGGCGATATTCTCGAAAATCTACCTTTATTAGTACCGACCAGCAATCAAGTTCAAGAGGGCGAGCCTGCACAATTAACAAATGAGCTATCAGAATCTTCTATTTTACAAGACGTTGCGGGGTCTTTAAATTTGTTTAGTTCTAGTGATAGCCAATTGCATCAATTAAATGCGTGTCCCTATGATCTATGGCCAGGGCATGTACACATGGATATCGAAAACTCCGATGTGAACGATAATAGTCCACGCTCCAGTCAAGAGGGCAAAGTAGATCTCATAAATTGTTCGGAGATGCACAACGGAGATTTAGCTGAAGCTGATCAAACCTGTCACACTGAGACGGAAGAGGGAGGCGCCAGTGGACATGGTGAAGCTGGAGCTAATGCAGAATCATTACCAGACGTTGTAGACACCGAGGAAGTCACACCGACTGAGGTAATGCAACATGTACTATATTGTAGGTGTCTGCCGTTAATTAATTGTGCTAACCGTAATTTATAAGCATTCCAATAATATCTTTAACATGAAATAATATCATTACATTTATATTAAGAGATTTCTATACGTGCGTTGTAATCATCACCTACAAAATTCATATTCTAACATAAGTCAAACACCATCATATTAATTTTGCACACTTTGAATAAAGTTAAACCCTATGCTAATCCTTTATGCTAACTTTTCTATCGATGCCTCGGCAATATTAGGGGTGTTGGTAAAATGGGTTGGTATCCACAGAAATTATAATAATAAGACACTAGAAATGAATTAGCGCCCGATTACTTCCAAAACCGATGTCGCCACATCCTTAACACTGCCGACCGATGCCCGCAGCCCTATTATAAACATACGCAAATCCCAACGATATCTAATAGTTCACATTACATTGCTTGGCTAGTTTGTCAACATTGCGTGCAAGAACAGAAGCAGCAATGGTACCGTAAAGTGCGGCTAATTGGCACATTTATTTCAAGAAATAGGTTTTTACAAAAATGTCACTGAAAGTCAGTGACATTTTTCATCACTATAAAAAAAAATTGTGGGTAGTTCTCACAATTTCCTTTAAAAAACTACTAAAACAGTAAATTTACTGCGATTAGATCCATAGATATAATTTGGGTATCATGATAGCGCCGCCGGGTTAAAGGACTTATGGGATTCCATACTCTCTCGAAAAGACCCACAGACGTAAGCTAGTAATTTATTTAATTTCCTTTGATTAATTTAATTAAACTTTCGTAATATATTTATTTCATCTATTTTGAATACATATCTTTCTTTTTGTTTAATGCGGAGAAACATCTTACCCTTTACTGAGTTAAAAAAAGCTGTTGGGACTATTTGATTCGATGAATATAACCCATAACAATGTTTGCAAGCTTTAAAATTAAGTTCTAATTAACCCCAAAACAGAAACTTGTTGTCACTTGTGTCGGGCGCCCCGAGACGCACGCGTTTTTTTAAATGATGCACTGCTAAACGTTTACCGCCAATTACCGCCAAAACTCTAGTTTCACATTAACATTAGAAGTCGTTGCATCGCCAGGAGGCAAATATATTTTCTTCTATTCCACGATAAAAAAATATACACATGATGAAATCTTTTATTTTGCAAATTCCAAATAACCTCGTGATATCCAATATAAGCCCACTTTACGGTAATTGCACAAAACCTAAAGTAATTATGGTCCATCTGTTCAGTTCAGTGGACAGTTCTGACCAGTGTCTCCAACTCGTTCTAACGAAAATACGGTATTGCCAGGTGACAAATACGGTAGATTACGGTGTCAGTAATATAAAAAAAATGGTAGGATTACGGTAAAATTTAATAATTAAAAGAAATGATAAATATGATACAAATGATAAATATGATGAACGCATCTACGTATACATAGATGCGTTCATCATATTTAACATTTTATCGGTTGGGGCGAAATTAATACAATTTTTGCCGTGTCTTTTGATGCATTGTTCGGCTAACAAATTCCCAGTAACCTTTTTTATTATTATTATTATTATATTTAATACACTAGCAGCTTAAGGCTGATGTGTGTATATCATTACACTTGTGCATTTAAATGTTTATCAAGTCTATTTTTAAAAATGTTAATACTCTGGGCACCTATCACAGTTTCCGGCAAAGAGTGCCACATATGCACTACTCGGTTAGGCAAAAAATGTTTTCTTGGATTACTAGTACACAGGTGCTTGCTGAGCTTCATAGAATGACCCCTTAGCTGCTTGTTCGGGTTCATTGTGAACATAGATTCAATATCTCTCACGTTGTAATGGTGGTTGAGTATTTTGTAGGTTTCTATGAGGTCTCCTCTCATTCTCCTCTGTTCCAGTGTTGGCAATTTGAGTTCCAAGAGGCGTTCTTCATATGATACGTTTTTTAAAGAGAAAACCATTTTGGTTGCCCTTCTTTGTACCCTTTCCAACATCTCAATGTCCTTTTTGAAATATGGATTCCATATTTGGAAGGCGAATTCTAGCAGAGGTCTTATGTATGTTAAGTAGATGTTAAGAAACAGCTCCTTGGTAATAACATAGAATGCCTTTCTTATCATGTACAGCAATGAATTCGCCCTTTTTGTTATCATTGTGATGTGTTCATCCCATTTAAGGTTATGTGTTATGATAACTCCAAGGTCCCTTTGTGAGTTTACTACTTTCAATGGCACAGAATCCATTGTGTACTTGTATTTAGGGTTATTATTACCGATATGTAGTACAGTACACTTAGTCTCATTGAGTGAAATCATCCATTCTCTTGTCCACTCCATAATACGGTCCAGGTCTTGCTGAATTATATTGTGAGAAATTAGGGGGTTTCCCATAATTTTGGTATCGTCCGCGAATACTGACAAGTTAGAGTGAACGACATTTTTCAAATCCGTTATAAACAGCACAAACAGGATCGGTCCAAGCACTGAGCCTTGAGGCACACCACTGTGTACTTTATGAGTGTCTGATAGTGTTTCACCTACTCTTACTTTGAATTTTCTGTTGCTTAGGAAATCCTCTATCCATTTCAAGAGTTGCCCACGAATTCCAAGGTGTTCAAGTTTGGTTGTAAGCCTTCTAATAGGTACCCGATCAAAGGCTTTTTCATAATCCAAGTAAATAACATCGATGGGCTGATGGTTGTCCCAGTGGTTTGTCCATTTGTCCAAGCTCACAAGGAGATTCGAGACTGTAGACCTTTTAGGAACAAAACCATGCTGTTCATCGATAATGATGTTTTCCCTATTAATGAAAGTTCTAAGTTCACTAACTATAATTTTCTCCATCGTTCTACAGACAATGCTCGTGAGGCGGATTAGCGGCCAGGTGTTTATCACCCTTTTTATAAATTGGGGTAACATGGGCTACTTTCCACTCTTGAGGTAGTTTCCCATTTTGCATTGATAGGTTCATAATGTGTGCCAGCTGGGAACTAAGAACATCGCTGCATTGTTTCAATAAAATTGAAGGTAGAGCATCCGGTCCCATCGAAGTAGAATCACTAAATGTTTTTAAGGCCTTACTCACTTTGTCTGATGTGAATATGAGTGACCGAATAGAATTTTCAACTCGAGGAATCTTTATGCTTGGGACATGCAAATAAGCTGGCTCCACAACAAAGGATGTTTCAAAAAGTAGGGCGAACAAGTCTGCAACTGTTTTTGGATCACTGGTAATATTCCCTCTTGCATCCTTCAATGATGGTGGCACACATACCGTTGAAGATAGTTGCTGGCGCATATAAGAATAGAATGATTTCGGTCCGGACTTTACAATTCCTTTCTCAAATTCCATTCTTAGGTTTCTGACAATGGTGGTTAGTTCATTGTTTGCTTTCCTGTATTTTTTGTATAATTCATTAGAACCACTCAAAGTATACTGTCTCAATAGTCGTTTTTTGTTCTCTGCCAAATCTAGAACTTTATAATTGATCCACGGTTTATTAATGTTGCAAATCCTACGTGTCTTTTTCAGTGGTATGTGAGTTTCAATGACATTGTGTGTTTTCCTTGTAAACTCTGTCCAGGCAACCTCAACATCACTCGCATTTGTATCTTCAATGTTATTGTCGGCTAGCGTTTGGGCTATGTTCTCATAATTAGCTTTGAAGTAATTCCTCCGTGGTTGTTGAGTAGCAATTTTGCTAGTTGATTGGGTTCTGATTTGTGCTGTCCCTACCAGTACTTGATGGTCACTGTTCCCTATGTTGGGGTGGTGTTCCACTTTTGTGCAGAAGTTTTCTTCATTACATAGTATTAAATCCAGTAGTGATTCCTCATTATTTCTCTTTCTAGTTATACTTGTAGCAAGTTGGTTTAAGTTACTGTTTACATACATGTCTACAAATTGACAATGAAGCAAAGTGTATTTGTCCGCATCAACGTTGTACAGTGGCCATCTTAAATCTGGTAGGTTAAAATCACCCATAATTAGCAAGGTATTATTACCTTCTGAAGCTTGTTTAATAGTATCAAACAGTAGCTTGTCCGACTCATCAAGGGTATAATGGGTTGGCCTATAGACACCAGCAAGCAACAATTTAAAATCTCCATGTTTTATGTTTAACCATAGCGCCTCAACCTGTGTAATATTAAAAGTAGGATGTAGGTTCACCTGGATGGGTGTATTGTTTAGTAAGAGTGACACATAGATTGCCACACCTCCCCATCCTGTCCCTTTAGCTCGGTCATGTCTAAATAAAGTGTAGCCTTTGATATCCACTAAGGCATTACCTATAGTGGGTTTTAAATGTGTCTCTGTTATTATAATAAAAGTTGGTTTCAATTTATTTACCTCTACAATGAGCAAATCTCGTTTAGCCATAATCGAAGCTAGGTTTGTATAGAAGAATGTGATCTCCAAAATACCCACATCAGCATTTATAGCTTTTTTCCGCTGACTATTTTAGGGGTACCATGTATATATTTTATGGTTAGGTCTGTTTCACCATTGTCGAGTCTTTCTTTTAGCTCTGCCCGTAGTTTTTGTAAATATTCACGCTGATAGGGTGTTAAATCATTCTTGGCTGATACCTTGGATGGAAGTTTTGTACGGTTTTTTAACACATTCACAGCTGGCTTTTTATTGGAAAATATGACCTTGATTGGGCGCGGCGAAGACTGTTTTCGTTTACCGAGACGAAATACGGCGACCGGAGGCTCCGAATCCGGGACATTTGCCAAGGCTTGTTGAATCTGCTCCTTATCGTAATCAATACGTACCTCTTTGTCCCGCTCAGAGTCACCTGTTTGTAGCTGACACTCATCAATCCCGAATAGTATAATATTCGCACTTCGTTTTTTTCTCTCCGCCAATTCTCCTAGAATACTCTCCATACATGTCGTTTGGCTTTCTTTGGCTTTTAACGCTTCGATTTCATTTTTTAATTGAGAGACTGTGTTTCTCAAGGCCGGCAACTGGCGCACTCCGAGTTCACAGTCAGGGCACAAGTACTTCAAAGTCGGAGATTGAAGTACAATCACTCTCAACTCTGTGGCTAGCAATCCACTACATTTCACACATATTTGCCTCTTGCAACCGTGGCATTGAATTTTAGGGTTTTTATCATCAATTTTAGGCACTTCTTTATCACATTTGAGGCAAACAGGCATTTTTGTTGCAATTTTTTATGGTCGTAGCACTAAGGTTAAATTTTTTGTTTATTTAGTGTAAAGTTTTACGGAATAACACTTTCACCACTACTTTAGCTTGTAAGGAACACTAAGTCACAGTTTTCGTCTATAGTTATCTTAATAAACAATTAAAAACTTAAACTTTCACAGAACGTTCGTAAAACACAAGTGCTCTTTTTAAGTGGAGGTAGGCGAAAAAACATTTTTGTAACTAGTTTATTCCTCTTGTCGGTTTTGATGTCGTTTATTAGGCTGAAAACTCTTTCGCAGTCAGCATTAGAGTGTGGTAGGCATAAAATTTGCAGCATGAAGTTGGACAAGGTTGAAAATGGTTTTTTCCATCTTTGTTTTGTAGTTGGGCAACCTGAAAGTAAAAACAAACTGTATTAACTTGCTCTGATGATAACCTACCACTGCTATAATAGTCATTCTTATTTTATACTAGCTTCTGCCTAAAGTAGCCTATGTTCTTCCTGGGAATACATATCTCTATTGCCTTTCCAAATGTCATCTAAATCTGCTCAGCCGTTTAGCCATGAAAAGTATTGTTAGTTACAATAATATAAAACTTACCTGATGCCAAAATATATCTGAAGGCTCATTGGCATCCAGTGTGTTCTGTTTGTATGATGGCAAACATCTCCATTGGTCATCTAAATCCTGCTGTTCCTGTAACGATTTGGGAGCTATTCTTGGCAACATCGTGAAAAGAGGGGCCAAGGTGGTGGGTCTTTCGTGTGATAGCAGTGATAGACAAGCTTCTGGACTGATTGTAGGAACTGCGTGTAGGAGTTCATCGTCGAGGCTATACCTTTTTCTTATTCCAATGATAGCTCTTAAAATGAATTTTCTGCACTTACTTCTGATTTTTGTCATTTTCATTATTTGCCACTTCAGGTAGCGATAGTTGTTTGCGGACGCCGAGACCAAGATATATGTCATCGAGATTCAGATAAAGATTTTCGTTGGTAGGATCAATTTTGTCGAGCTTGTCATCGAGCATGCACTCCGGCTGCATCACAAGTTTGATCAGATTTCTATATAAGTCTCTCATTTTAGTGTACATTTCTGTGATAACAGTAGTCTACTTTCACTTTGAAAGTATGCATTTGCATTTGCAAATTTGGGTAACATCCATGACAGAAAATAGTAGTAGGCTTTGATTATTGGGTCATTTAGTCGTTTGTGGATTTCCCTGCATTCGCGATCATCTAACCATTTACTGTCGAAATAGAGACGTAGTGCGTCCCATTGTTCCAGCAATCTGTCTACAACCGATGATAGCGATAGCCATCCTGTTTGAGCTGGACGTAGTATTTTGTGTACATCAACCTCGACGAAATTTTGAAAAGCCTTAAACTGACTTTGGCGTTTGCTGCTCGATTTGTAAAAATGATTGTAAACGTCGCGTGCCAGTTGTTCACATTCTGAAGGTATTTCTTTAGCGGCATCACTAGCACACAGGTGTAGCGAGTGGCAGATGCATTTGATAATTGCAATACCTGGACATGATTGTCGAAACCTAGAACAAACTGAGTTGCGAATGCCCATCATTGTATTACAACCATCCGAGCCAAAACCTATTACATTTTGAAGTGGTACGTTTTGATCTTCGAAAGCTTTTACGATTGCATTAAAAAGGTATTCTGCATTGGCACTGTGGTCCGCTGTAGATTCTTCAAATAGTTGGATGAGATCCCAAAAACGACTAACAACTCGTCCAATTTCCGAGTCGTAATAATGCACAACAACGCACATTGTTTTGACCACACCTATGTCTGTACTTTCATCTACTAAAACTGAAACTTTCTGGCATTTCAAATAAGATACGATGGACTCTTTTTCACTTACACCCAAGACATTCGTGATCACCACTTGTAATTTACTGTGCTTCATTTTTAAGTTTGTCGCTATGCTGGAGTCTGGGAAAATGTCAGGAAGTAAATCGTTCAAATGATGCATAACAGCGTGTGAAATTTTGTGCTCTGCCATAAATGCCGCCAACTTTATCTCAGCTCGTTTGACTTTCCTATCGGCGGACTGCATTTTTGTTTTATCAAAAAGGTTTGAAATTGAAGGTTGTTGACTGATCCCTTTAATTTTATCTTTGTGTTTTGTACCCTCTTTGTGTCGTTTTAAGACACTTATCTCAGCCGTCATTATGATGGCACATAAGGTGCACGTAGCTTTAAGAGGATCAGTTGGGTGCTCACTTAACCAAGATGAGAAGTCCTTGTTGGTTAACCATTCAGATCGAAATTTCTGTTTATATTTACTTTTCTGCTTCTTACCTGCCTGAGCCTTTTGTTTTTTTGGAGTAGGTGGGCCATCACCATCGCTGTTACTGTCGATACTATCCATTTTAAAAACACAAAAGCACAACACGATTTTTTAAACGCAATTAATGTAGAAACTTTATTTTTCTCCTAGAAACAGTGAAATAATAGGTACACAACACGCAGCTTAATCTGAAAATGAATGTTATTATTCTAGGATAATAAGTAGTCCTTCCAATTCATTCACTTTAGTTACAAAAAGGTACAATTATATTTGGTAGGGTAATAAACATATGAACTGTGGAAAGAGAGTGGGAATTCCCCGCGTTGCTCATTTTAGTGTTGTCGTATATTTATTAATGTTGCTATAATTTAAAATATAAGAATATCTAATGGGAAAAATTAAACATTTTAAAATTGAAAATTACGGTAGTTTTTGATACCGTAGTATACATACTACGGTAGGTAGTAAAACCAGCAAAATTACGGTATGTCTACCGTAATTACGGTGTAGTTGGAGACACTGGTTGTGACAGATTGAAGTTTAGCGATGGGGTAAAAGAAATCGATTACTAAAATATCTGATTCTCAAAGATTTCGGTATCATTTCTTAGTATGTACTAATCGATTACAGTTTTACAGATTTATGTTACTATAAAAGCCCATGTAATGGCACATCATAGGTTTTACTAGTAAATCTTAGTATACACTTGAACACGAGCGATTTTTGCCTACAAAGATTTATTTAAAATTATATTAACTAACTTACATACTTTTAATTTTGCGTTTTCGTGGAGCTTTGGATGTGAGATGAATTTTAAGTATTATTAAACACTTTAAGACACCTGGACTGAAAATTACTCGTTAGTAATTAATAAATTCTATTTTTCGTCCATTTTAACGATTGTTCGTATTGAAGACAATCTACGTCAGTATATATATATATATGTTGATTTAATATATGACAAGCACGTTCTTTTGACATGTTCATAACCTCTGCTATCTCCCTTTCCTTATTTCGGCGGTCGTCTAGCACCATTTGGTGAACTTTGGTGATGTTTTCGTCGGTAGTTGCGGTTTTTGGACGTCCCGAACGTTCATCGTCTTCCAAGCTCTTACGGCCACGTTATATTCAGCTGCCCAAAATTCCCGTTTTCCTCACGGACCAACTATGTACGCACAACTAGTTGTGCCATCCCAGAATATGTTCCTAATGGCACAACTAAGTACAACAGATTTACTATAATCATTCCTTTTAGCACAACTACAGGAGGAAATAAATAGGATTATTACTAACCTCTTCAGATATTGATAATTATGTTCGCCACTTCTGCCGTATCTTTGTATATTAACAAATAGAATATTATAAATGCCATTTCATGTCATTTATTATTTAAAAATTATTGATATTTAATTTTCGTGCATACGCTGGCGTATATCCTGACTTTACGCTAGAAGACGAAGAACTTATATTCGTCGATATGAAAGGTGAAAATATTGCTTTATATGGCTACTATCAGCACCATTTGGTTCGAAGGTACAAGACTGGTGCGTCTATACTGCGATGTTCTAAATATCGTACAACTAACTGTCGAGGATGCATGTAAATTTGGATATTTATATAAAAGTAAGTTTAGGTTTTGTTCTGTAGTATATCTACTAATAAAGTTTGAGTTATTGTTTTAGAACTCTAAAGTAATCAATTTCAAGGAGCATTCGTGCGACGTTGATAAATCAGAAAATATTTATTTGAAAAAGAAAGCTGCAATAAAAGACGCTGTCGGCAATTCTGACAAACCTATTCCTCAACTATAAAGACAGCGTAGCAGATATGGATGATATAGGACTAGATTTAATAGATTCTGTTCCTCCTGTTTTATAGTATGAAGACTAGTCTGTATAAGGCTAGGAATGAGTCTGTTGGAGCGAATAAAACAGTATTCAAACGTTTTGAAGAAGTGGAAATTCCACTAAAGTTCAAAGATTTCGTTTTGGCTGAATATACCTGTAACAACACTCATATTTTAACCGACTTCTAAAAAGAAAGAGGAGGTTTACAATTCGTCTGTATTTTTTTTATGTTTGTTACGCGATATCTTCGTAAGTTGTGGACCGATTTTCAAAATTATTTTTGTAAGCGAAATATACTTATTACATATGTTGATCATTAACATATGTAATAAGTATAATATATACCATATTAAATGCTTAGGATAAACATAACGACGAACCTTTGGACACCGATTGTTATTAGTTGTCTCTAGGAACTACTATTAATTGAAAATTGTTTAGTTGTGCCAATGGGAAAATTAAAAAAAAATATTCCTCATGACACAACTAGTTGTGTATACATAGTTGGTCAATCAGAGTTCCCATACACAGAATCCAACTCATCTTTGATTTGCGAAGGCGTATTGCCTTTCAAAAACAAATATTTAATGACAGCTCGATACTCGATTTTGTCCTTTTTCATAAAATAACACACATTCACTCACTCAAACGACTGTTACATAACAACTGCGCGTCCAAATTGGCTGGAACTTTGGCGAGTAACTGTCAACAAATGAACAACGAAATTCGCTAGCTTATATTCACGAGTGCTTCCATCTTCGTGTTGAGGTCAGAAACTTTACAGATCACCCTATCTTAGAGCAAAGGCAATCCCGATATGTCTACGTACCTACTAAAGTAGTTTAATACAATCGATACTATTGCAAATATTTTTAACAGATCTTGAAGCTATGCTGACCAGAAAAGCAATTGTAGTTTTCTGGTCAGCACTGCTTTAATAATATACTATTTTTACTTCTTCTACCATATATGCTTTCTAGACCTAAACTAAGAAACTGCTTATACTACATATTCTAAACACAACATTCACCCCACAAGCACTATTCAACTTACATAAATGTGTGCCTACCATTTATTTTTTAAAGGTTGTTGTCATTGTAACATGTAGTAATCTAAACGATATTTGCCCAATTTTTGGTTCCAGCTGTTTTCATCCAATTGTGAATCATATTATTAACTAGTACATTATTAACATATAATGAATATTAAGTATTGAAGGCTATATTTTGTAAAACTATTATTATCTGTAAACCTTTTTAATATGTCACATGTGAATATGTCAATGTGTACAATTTGTAATTTTGGAGTAATTATAATAAATTGAACTGAGAAATTGTTGCATTTTCACTTAATTGAAAAGAAACACAATATACTTTAGACAGTCTATTTATTACAATATCAGGTACAAAATATCACAGGTGAAGGTTTTGGCAAGCTCTCATGTTCCATAGATCACAGAATTTGTACTCTAAATATAAATCTATATGTTAAATACATTGTATAAACTGTTGGTATGTTTACATTAAAGGCTGAAGCTGAATGGCTTGGACTTGATCGTGTGCCAACAAGGCTGCACATGGAGGAATCATCTGAAAAACAAAAAGGTGAACTTAATATTTTATATAAAATGGAGAAAACACTCAAACTTAAACCAAATTTGGTTCTTTCTTTTATTTGAGCGTATCCTGAAAAGGAAATCAAAATTAGTGAAAGCTTCATTCACTGCATCTGGAACAGAAAAGCAAAGTAAATAGAAATAATTAGTTCTCTTTTTTTCAGATTCTTCTTCTTAAAAAGACAACTCTTCTTAAAGAGATTGAACTGAGAAGTCCGAATATCCTGATGACTTTAGTATTATTTTTCAATGTTATTACTGTATCCCATTATTATTATTTAATTACACTTATCTTTTACATAAATACTTTGTATAATATATAATAATATAGAAATAAATATTCTTGAAAAAAATATTGTTATATTTGAAAAAAAAGACCCTCCCTCATTGCCTATTATAATTTTATTTCTTAAGACTTACTAATGAAAAAAAATACACAAAAATTCACAATGTAAAATGGAGTTGTATATTTCTTAATGTCCCAATCACTAGTCTCATAAAAATGTCATATATATAATTCCCACATTTTATCTAACAGTCACAGACACTGTATTAAATGAAAAATGCTTCCTCCATGAATATTCCAATATAGTAACTCCAATAGATCTTCTGAATTTGCATCCAATGTCATTGTCTCATTTGTCTCAGGTTCAATCTGTTTCTCTTTTTGTACTTCTGCAGATAAAATGGACAATATTTCTTAATTAATTTTTTTGGCAGTTCTGACATTTTGACAGAGATTAGATCATATGGACCATGAGACAACGAGATATGTCTGGGTTGTTGTGAGTTGGGCGTAGTAAACATGGGTTGAAGTTCGAAGTTGATGGCACCATGCCCTCTGAAATAAAGTCGAATTTCATCACACTAGGGCTCTATTTTTGCACAGGAAGCCTCCACAAAGTTTTGTTGCGGTTTACATTATTTGCCTTATTTTAGGTATAAACATTCAAGGAACAGTGTAATTAAAAACTTTATAGTTACTATGGCGCAGCCCATACATGCATTGAATGCTGAACTGAAAAGCGAGGGGAGTGAACAATTTTAAACGTCGCGCTAGAAGCTCGCTATGCTCATCCACTGCATGAATAACACATTTCTGAACTTTGCATTCAGCTCATGTGTGAGCTCTAGGTACAGCAAAACTCCTTATTTACGGTTTCCTTATCTGTGTTTTCACTATTTATAGATTAAGATAATGCTACATATCTTCACAACATGTTTTCTCTATTCAATATATCAAAACTATATATTAAAAGCATTCAGGATATGATAACATTCTGGCTTCTCTGTTCTAACATATAAAGGAACAGTCAAAACAAAGTGTGGGGGGTGACAAATATTAAATTTTGCAGTTTTGTAATCGTTTTGTAATCATTTTGTCACTGAAGATGAAAATTATTAAAAAGAGATGCATGCAACAAAAGCTAACAATATGTGTGTTGCTAACAAAATATGTAGGTATTATTAAAATTGCTATTGAAACTTGGAACATATTGCCTATAGTACTATACAAATTACTATTTTATTTTCAGTGTCTATCTTCAAAGTGTACAGAATTTAACCCCTGAATAAGGACCTTTAACTGTACATACATAATTATGTATATGCACATATTTATTTAAATAAAACTGTCACATTTTAGACTGACTTATATTAACAGAACCTGTCTGATTTACTTACCACTTGCAACCTGATTAAAGAAAGTTTAACCTTGTAAGTAACATTTACATATTGTATATGTTACTTACAGGTTAATCATATAACATAGAGATGTAGACTGTTCACTATACTATGAAATAATTCCTTTATAGCTTTTTTGGCAGGTCCTTTAAACTTCCTTAATATCTATTATATAGGTGATAACTTATATATAAATTATCACTCATTTAAGACACTGGCATTTCAAAAACTAGATAAGGAAATTTTAAAGTTATCTTTAGATTAGTACTTAAAACTGTTTCTAAAATAGTGTAGTCATGGAAATAGCTTATCATCAAATAGTTTTTTTTTTAAATTAAGAATGGATTTGATAATAAACCGTCCCATCAAAACTTAAAAAATATGAATCTTTCACTATTAACCTTCACATAATAATGTACTAATAATAATGTATACTCCTTATCAGACAGAGTGTACATTATTATTACCCTAACACAGTATATTTTTGATGTTAAAGAAAATTAGCATTCCTTATATGTTATTTTTATTTATTTTATTTTTATATTGTTCTCATGTAAGTGACTATGTCTTAATGAGAAATAAAGATCTTTACACCAATATGTTAATATGAATCCTATCATATATTTATATTGTAAATTGTATATATGTAAATATATACAATGTCTAACACAACAGTATTATTAGTATTTATTTCAGATAATTTCTATGGGAAATTGAAGAATAGATCACAACAAATTGCATTAATTTTGTATTAAGATGCATACACATTAATAAATTAGGCAATATATTCATTTTTAAAAAGATTAATGCAAATTACTGCTTATGAATACAACTCACTGCACAAAAGTGATCCCAACTACATTGACAATAACTATTTTAATTTAAACAAACCTGAAACCTCAATACTGACTGGACTGATGATGAAACCTCAATGATTGAAATATTGGTTCATTACTGTTGAACAACATCAAGTATAGAGGTATATCAGGGTTGAAACAAATGTAGTTAAAGTAGTAAGAAAAAAAAACACAAATTTAAACTCAACCTAACAATAAAATATTATATGAAAATACCTAAAAAATTGATTAATTTAAATGAATCAATAATATAAAAGTAAGTATCAATAAAACTATACAATTTATATTTCTAAATTTACAAAGCATACATCCGAAATCTGCTAAACAATATGGATAATGTGTTAAAAATCTGAACAATCTTGAAGTGAACATTTAAGCTAGTATGAAACCGCAACAAAACTATAAATACTGCAAAATATGAGTGGTAAATACCATCTGCATATGAAAATGGCAATGGAAGACTTCCTATAAAACAAAACCTACAAAACAATCTGGTTGCTCAAACTGTATAGCTATATGAATTAATTTCTGTAAACAAAGCATTATTTCAAAGAAAAATAGGTTATGAAACCTTACTGAATCCCATACAAATCCTAAAACCTTCAGTGAGGTTCCATTTTAATGAATAGTTATTAACTTACCATCACGAAGACGTTTAGTTTGAGGATAGTCTTGATCATCTGCACAACGTTTCTTAGACAAGTTTTTGCTTTTGGATGAGGTTTTCTGTTGAACTGCTTCTGCTCCTACGTCGGCCATTTCGTAATCGGTGTCAACGTGGTTGTCTCCAGTACTTTTTAACCCATGGTACCCATAATAACAATTTGTAGAAACATGTACATTGTCACATCGCACTATTGATCGATGGTTATCAGAGTATATTGGAGCAGGTCGAACAGCATCAAAATTATCTCTGGCGTCCTGTAGATACGAATCAATATTGCTCGCCGGCATTTTCATAACGTGTGTTTAAAAGTTCCTTTGTTTGTAATATTACTACAGAGAAAATTCACTAATCCTCGTTATCTAATCAGCAGAATCTATAGATTTGTAATAATTTTATCTGAGTACAACAAAACTATAGATGCAGTACACAATGACAAGTCGGATCAGTTCACAGATTAGTATAATAAACTATAATGTAGCAAGCTAGATCAGTCGGATGCACACAAAACCATAGATAAAAGATAAAACCCTATAAATCCAAGATAGATGCGAGATAGATCTTTTATAGAACAATCTCGCTTTAATACGCTTAATTTTCAGCCAAAGACTTTACTCTTATAAACTTTGCATAGGCACAGTGATTTACAGGTACTATATGTTTTTATTGCAATATGTTATTTTACTCTATGTAAGAAAAAATCTGAAAATATACTATTGAGATAGTTTACTCGAAAAGCAGCTGGATAGTGTTTGAGACTACGAAAATAGTCACTGAGTTTTGCAGACAATAAATAAACGTGTAATAACTTTCAGACATTAAATATATTATAATATTTTAACACAGCACACTTCACTCCATCTACAACAGCTATTTATTTATTTATACTTCTTGCACATACATTGTATAAGGCGAGCTTAATGCCATAGGCATTTTCTTCCAGTCAACCTTGGGGTGATGCAGAGATTTGTGGCAGGTGTATAATGAGATAAATTATTTAAATTGTAGTCGGTTGTAAGATGTTATACTACACAGATATACGGGGATACATATATAGATGCAAATATAATTTATACGTACTATATAATACTATAAATATAAAAAAAACATAAACATACACAACATCCATACATATGATATTAGATGATAAGCTATTTACATCATTGATGAACACACGAGGGGTTATTTTGATGACTCCGTCAACAAGTCTCCATAGAACTTGCGTACTCTGATCTTAAAGGTTGTTCGGTTGGTAGATGTCCTGATCTCTAGGGGAAGGGCGTTCCAAAAATTTACCGCTTGGACAGTGAAGGAAGAATGTAGATACGGGAGTTATGTGAAGGACAAAGAAGGAGGAAATTATCAGAGATATTGCAGGTGGGATGTTAAGTAAGTAGGTGAGGTAGGTGTGTGGAGAAGGGAGTGCAACATAGTCAGCGCCCGCAAACTGAGGCCCTGTCTTATAGGTAGCCATGACAATTGCCTACGATAAGCGGATACATGATCGTACTTTCGCATTTTGAATATGAACGGAATGTAATTGTTGAGAAGTCGGTCTAATTTATTGAGCAGATCTGCATTCAGGTCGAGGTAACACACACCAGCATCGTTTTTGTTTTCATTGGGAGTAAATTTTTCAGGCGGTAAATTCCCCTCAAAATATTCGTTACCTTCTGACTGACGCTAGTTACCTGCGTTTGCCAATTTAGGGTTGGGTCTATGTGTAGACCGAGATCCTTGACTGATTGGCTAATGGGCAACACAGTTCTATCAAAAATAATATCTGCGATAGCGTCAGTATCAATTCTACCCGTCATTCTAAGACTTCCTATAAAGATGCCTGACATTTGGCTGGGTTCACGGTTAAACCAAATCTGCTCGGCCAGTTTTCTATGGTGTTCAGGTCGCGGTTAATTTTGTTTATCGCTTCGTCTATATTTTCTACTCTCGCATGTGAGTAGATCTGTAGGTCGTCTGCATACAGGTGATACGAACACTGAAGTTCATAAGTTATGAAGTCGATGAATAGTGAAAAGAGAAGTGGAGAAAGAATACCGCCTTGTGGAACACCAGAGTCAAGGTCGGCCCATAGCGATGTAGATTCATCAGTTCGGACAGACTGCTTTCGTCATCGAAGATACGACGAGAACCATTCCAGTGCATCATCGGAAATCATGAAATGGGAAAGGATTGTAAGTAGTATATCGTAATTCACGGTATTGAAGGCATTTGAGAAATCAATTAATGCGAGTACAGTTATCTGGCCATCTTCCATCGCAGCCTTTATATCGAGTGTCACCTTGAGCAGTGCTGTACCTGTACTATGTCCTGGTCGGAATCCTGACTGATACTGGTTAAGCAAGTTGTTCTGGTAGATAAAGTGAGATAGTTGCTTAAGAACACAGGCTTCAAGGACTTTGGAGAGAAAAGGGAGGATGGATATTGGACGAAAATGAGTAGGAAGGGAGGGGTTAGGTACCTTAGCCAATGGACGTACATAAGCCTTGCGCCATAAGGAGGGGAAAACATTGGAATCTAAGGAATAGTGGATAATATAAGTGATAGCGGGTAAAAGCTGTTCTAGGATTGTGGTTACCATGAAATGGCTAATTTTATCGCAACCAGTAGCTTTGGATTTGATGGAGGTAACAAATCGTTTGACCTCCTCTGATACAACCGGAAAAAATCAAAGGGTTTTAAATTAGGCCTAGGCAGACGGGCTACGAAATCGATAGTTTGAACTTTGCTGATCCAATATATAGGGAGTGGTGAAATGGCAATTGATATCATCTAAAGCAATATTCGTTGGAAAATCTGCATTGCGCTCATTGCCAATACCAAGAGTCCTTAAGAACTTCCAGATATTAGCAGAAGAGGATGAAGAAATGTTATCGAGAATATGACGGCGTTTGGCGTTACGTATCACCTGATTACATCTGTTTCTCACAGTTTTGTAGGCAAGCCAATTAAATTGTCATCACTTCGAGTTCTTTTAAATTGCCGAAAAGCCCGATCCCAGCACCGCATTACACTGCGGATGTTATCAGTCAACCAAGGTGCGGGAGGATGATTTAATTTGACATTCCTCAATGGCGCGTGAACGTTGTATCAGTGCAGGATGTTTTCGTTCAATATTTGAACCTTATCGTCGACAGACGTTGCTGCCGCTAACGATTCCTAATGGATATGAGAAGCATCCTTCCGAAGTCTCTCAAGGTTCATAGATCCAAAACAACGTCTAAGTATCATTTTGGGTTTAGGTTTTGGCGTTTTAATTTTGTATGAAACAAAGATCAGGTCATGATGTGAGAAATCAGGTGCTGGGTATTGTCCATGTGGAGAAACCTTCTCCATATTGGTTGTGGTAAGTGGCTTGAAGCGGTAGCTATGTATGCGCTGTTCTGGTAGGTACTAGAACCTCTATTAAAATTTTCAGTATTTAGCTGCAAGTTTTTTGCCATCTCATTGGCATTCCGCTGCAGAAAAAGTAGTGTGCAAGCAATACATTCAGTTTGATAGGCAATGTTGTCAGAGACTGCTCTGGGATTAAGCCATTTAAAAGTTTTCATTTGAGGGTGACGAATGCAATAGTGCTTCTTGCCTATTCAAAATTACAATATTGAATATTGCATTACTTGTAGACCAACTTAACGCTCACCTAAGTGTTAAAAAATCCCAGGATTTGGTTTAAAATGATATAAAAAATATTGGGTTGAAATGAAAAAAATAAATGAAAAATTTACGACTACTCTGACATTGATTAGTTCCTGGTTCCGACAGAAAACTCATCGTCACCACTATCTGCACCACTGCTGTCATGTTCGCAGCAGTTCTTCCAATTCTCAACTGTAAAATTATTCATTTGTCTGTTCGAACATTTTGATCATAATCTTTCAAATATTTTATACTACCTTTTGACCGCGGCATTTTACGCTTACATCACTAAATCGATTTTACAAAAGCTGATGATGTATAATGGTAGAAAATAGTGTTTAAGATAGGTAACATACCATAGATATTTTTGATACAGCGCCATGTTAACATTAATTTTACGAACTCGGGCATATTTATATTCTCAAATAACTGTCAAAAATAAAATTTTCGATCTCGACTTTATACAGTTTTCCAGTAAAACACTGTGAACTTACTGGTCGAGTTGAGTCGTAATATTACTGTACTCTGTGGTTGACTCACACCAATACGTAAGCTCAGTTTGAGTTATGTCATGAACTGTCAACATATCTTGGTCATGTCATCGGGAATTAAAGTTTTGATGAATTTGAAATCGTCTTTAGTATTACTTTAATTTTATAATATAGGCAAGCAATTGATATATCTTTAAGTACAATGTATATATGTAACAAATCCCTTGGTATTCCTATGTGTCACTAATATTTAACATTGCATCCAAGGTTGGAAGAATTTCGTACCTTAACATGTTGCCTTCAGCTGCCGCAAAGAGTTTTTATAGAAACTTAAGTAGATATTCTATTGAAATTAAACACTTCCACCCAATATGCCTTGGTGGGCCCAGAACGCTTCGACGGGAAACTTTCAGCGCATATAAAAATGAATTGTGGAAGAGTGTATACACTTCCGCATATCGCTATGATAAAAACGACAATGATTCTAAAAATAATTTAAAATTCTCTGCAACTAATCACAAAAAAATAGAAAGCGAAAAAAATGGAGGTAAACCCTCTCCTGAGCTAAATGTACAGCCCTCATCCAAGCTACATTTAGATGTTGAAGTATTAGAAAAAAGAAAAGCCCAAATACAATCTAGTAACCTTAAGGCGAAGGGAGGTACAAATGATGATATAATTGTTAAGACAGAGACTGATCAAGACAAAATTGTGACCAAGGTTACAATAGAAAAGAAATCAGTACCAGAAAGCAAACCTTTGGCAAAACCAGGTTATATGACTTTCTAATTATGCTCACATAACAGCATTTAAAACCACTAAAATATCTAATTCATAATCTTTAAATGTTACAGCTAAGAAGAGATTGCTGATTGATTTCTCTGCATCCTATACTGAACGTAATTTTATCACTCCTATGCGTGCTATGACAGAATATTTATTAAAACAGTCAGACTTGGAAAGTTTACCTAAAGTTCTTAGAAGATCACCATATGAATCCGAGCCACCAATTACAGTCCATTATAGAAAAGATGTTGAAGCTAAAGCTGTAGAGGTTAAGAATATATTCACTATCATATTCATAAATTAATGTCACTGAATGTAAAAATAAAAAAAAATAGTTTGATTTTTTATAGGTTTGGGGTTCAAAAGAAGTGCTTGAAAAAGAACTATTGAGACGTGAGTTAGACAGAAGAAGATATGAACAAGGTAATTTAGCAATATGATTAGTTTTAATGTTCCCTTCTGCACCAATAAAGGGGTTCAGGAACTGCATTACTGTGGCCACTGCAACTGTAACTAAAGATCTATGTTATATAATATATTTGCCTAATTAGTGGCAAGTATGTTTTACCAAAGTTTCCAAGAGAGCTGACAATCATCCTTTGCAGTCATGGACACCTCATATAACACAAATGGCTCAGGGTCAATAAGCATACTACTACTGTTGTTCAAGAAGTAGATAAAGAATAAAGTATAAATTTAAAAAGGATTTAAAAAGTTTGTAAGGACACGCCATGCTATTATTATTATTATAATTAGCCTTGAGCATGAGATTGATCAAGCCTATGGCTTGTCCTTATAAACTTTGGCATACATCCTTACAAACATGGCATGAGAATAGTTAGGGTGATAAGGACAACTCTGAAGTAGGTATGTATTTTTTCCAGATGTGTTTACTGTAAAGAGGCGTCTCAGAACCTACAGGCGGGAAATGAGTAGCAAACGTCTGATTGGCACAGAACAGTTGGGTTTAAAAACTACATCAGGCAGAGTGGTACTTACTGCAGTAGGAATGTAAGTATTTTTTAAATATTTTGTTATAGTAAACCAACTGGTTTACTGCTAATTAATCAATAAAATTTTCACCTAATATTTAAATAGTCAATACCATAAAGTTTTAATCTTTGTATGTCATATGTATGTATGTACAACATATGTTCCATACATATGTCAACTACACATTCTACTTTAGACATACATACAATAAAAAAAAGATTCCCCAGAGTATGAGTTGTTCACTAAAAGTCTATAGTAGTTTAGGTACATATAAATGAAAATAATGTTTTCTTTTTCAGAAACGGTTGCAACTTTTTGTTCAAACTTTGTGCATGGTTCTATACAGGGTCACACAGCTTGTTCTCTGAATGTATTCATTCTTTCGCCGATACTGTTAACCAATTGATCCTTGCATATGGAATATATAAGTCTGGGCAAGTATGTATGTCTATTTGATTTCATGTAATTCATAGAAATAGAAATTCTACAGGGGTAGTATCATCTTCAACTTATAAATTCAATTATAGAATTGTGTAAGTTGATACTACCCCATCCGTAATAAACTTGGAAATGCTTGCTTGCTCTGGAATAAACAGACATTTCTTGACAGTATAGCAAAGCACATTGTATACACATTTTTTGCAATGCCCATATCTGTAAACTATACTTCAGAATTTTGGCAATTTAGAGGAATCTTAAGACCTATTTCTTAGTGGTCTGTGGATTCACCGTGTGGCTGCCGGGTCCATCGCGTGATACTACTCTGTCAAGAAAGTACCGGGAAAAGATCAATAATACACAAAATGTTTGTTATTCATCCAAATTTATTTTATCACCTTCAAAGTATGCTCCTTTAGAAACAATATACTTACGTCAACGAATAATCCAATCATCAAAACATTTTTTAAACGCTGTTTCCGGAATTGAGTTCAGTTCTCGCCGCTAATTCTCCTTTATGTCTTCTACCGATTGAAAACGGGTGCCAAGAAGTGGTAATTTGAGTTTAGGAAAAAGAAAGAAGTCGGCTGGAGCCATATCTGGTGAATATCCACCATATTGAATGCTGAATGATCAATTGCTCAATGGTATTTGTTGAGTGTTTGGTCAAAAATTCATTCACAATGATGGCCGTGTGCGAAGGCACATTATCGTGGCGCAAAATCCAAGAATTTTCTTTCCACAAATCTGGCTCTTTTCGTCGAATATGCTCCCTTAAATGCCGCATAACGCTCAAATAATATTCTTTGTTTACCGTTTGACCGCAACAGTCAAACCGTGACAACACCGCGATAGTCAAAGAAAACAGTCAACATGACTTTGACTTTTGATCGACTTTGGAGTGGTTTTTTTCAGTTTCGGTTCAGTTGGAAGGCGCCACTCTGAAGCTTGTTGACTAGGTTGCATGTCAAACTCGAAAACCCACGTTTCGTAACCAGTAACAATGCGTTTCATGAATTATTGGGTCGGAATTGACTCGTTCTAGCATGTCCTCAGCTTCTCTCATGCGATTGAGTTTTTGGAGAAAATTCAGGTCTTGGGACTAGCCGAGGGGGTAACATGTTTCATTTTTGTATGAAATATGTTACCCCCTGTTATGCTAGAATGATTAGTTAAAAATGTACGGATCGACTCGTGAGATACAGAAAGTTCGGCGGCTATCTCTCTCATAGTTGAATGAGGATTTTCAGTCACTATTTCCTTTACTTTTGCGATGTTAACTTCAGTTGCAGACGTTGATGGCCTACGCTTTTGAACGCTTTGTACCACTCATAAGCACGTGTTTTTGATAAAGTCGCAAGCCTTCTGTAACATTTTCCGTGACTCCGAACACGAAGTTGGCTATGCAAAATTTAAGACAAACTCTTTGTCCATTATGAAATTCGCAAAACACACTAGATATGATATAACTAAAAACAGCAATGTATTGAATATAAATAACAGATGCAACTCAAACTCCGCGCCAAAATAGCAAGCAGTTGTGCCAATCTAACAACAACAACAAAAACAACAATTTGGAACTATAAACAAATCATCCATTCTCGATACTTTTTTGACTGAATGTAGATGGGGGCCTGGGAACAGCGCCCAAGCACCCAAGAGTCGGTTTAGAAAATACTCCTTGCGACGCGTCAGCGCTTACCTCCACTGCTGTGTTGCACTCTCTACCTAACCATATTTGATACGAGCCTAGCAATGCCGCTGTGGATATTCGTTCTAGAAAGAGCATACTGAAGCTCTTGGCAATTCAAGGTCATAAGCAGGTTATAGAGCCAATGTTAATAACGCAAAAGTTTGTAAGGATGATGGATGTTTTCCCTTTTTTTTATGGAAGAGGGGGAAAACGAGCAGACGGGTCACCTGATTAAAAGTGACTACATCTAAATAATAAGAACTTCACACATTTCACACATGGCCACCTGACGCCAAACTAGCAGAGCCTGTGCCAATACTATCATAATAACATTAATAGGTATTTATCCATTTTACAAACACCGAACAAGCTAGTAATAGTAGGATCTAGGAGGCTCTGCAAAGCGGCGCAAGGGTCTTTACCAAGGTGATCATTATCAATGTTAGCGGCAAGCTCTTATGCGAGAAGTTAATTCATATAAAATTAAAGATTTTTTTTTTTTTTTGGAAAATCCTATCCGTGTCGTAACGGATTAAGAATTCATCCACTGGCTGTCGTAAGAGCCGACTAAGGGAGCAAACTACGCAGGAAAACATATCTACAAGAAGAATGAAAAATTGACACAAACCATAAACCTAACCACCTTTCTAAAGAGAGGCCTATGTCCAGTAGTGGACTATTAAAGGCTATTGATGATAGGGGGAAACGAGCAGGTCGGTAACCTAATGGTAAGGGACTACCGCTGCCCAAGACACCCGAAACTCAAGAAACAATAGCGTTGCCGCCCTTTGAATCTCCCCAGTAACTATATTCTATAGGTGGAATTGTTTTATGTGAGGCCCTGGCATCACTACATTTGGGCTAGCCCATATGTGCTCTCCCACTGATTTTATTAACATTTTAATAACTTTCAGATAGCAGATCCCGCTCATCCATATGGTTACACCAACATGCGATATGTGTCGTCTTTAATATCCGGGGTTGGAATATTCTGTGTAGGAAGTGGGCTATCATTCTACCATGGAGTAACCGGTATTATTGATCCTCAACCAGTCCATGATTTTTTTTTGGGTAAGTAATTGTATGTTTCATGACTTATGGTTCTTTATAAATGGGATGAATGGTTCTTTATGAACAGTACCGTCTATGCAAGGTTTTGTTAACCCACAGTAGTATTTTTGTATTTATGTTCTTTAGCCTACATAACTGCCTTGGTGCAGTGGTAGTGTATACGACTGCTGTGCTGAGGTCTCGGGTTCGATTCCCAAATATTTGTATCGGAGTTTGGGTGTTTTCTATGTATAATATGTATGTATTTAAAAAAAAAAAAGTATTATATCAGCCAGTCTAGCTTTCATATTACAGGCTCTTCTTAGTTTGGCTTAGTAAACTAAATGGCGTTGTGTGTTAGATGTCTAAAAAAAGAAAAAGAAAAAATAATTTACCTTTGAATTCCTGATTTTGAAAGTGACTATGCGGTTTATCAATAAACTGAATACATTTTTAGGTAAAGGTTTTTCGATCGCAATTTATACATATATTATTTTTTTAAATACAACTCTCGCATTAGGAATATATCCTGTGTCGCGGGGGACTCTACAAACATACATGAAACGCACACAAAGAACATCCAGACTCAAAACAACGATTTGTAGATCACACAAAGTGTCTTCCCATGTGGGGATCGGACCCACAACACTCAGCGTAAGTGTGTAAGTGTAAGTGGCGTGGCGACCACTTACACCACTACGCCATCTGTGCAGTCTAAATTTAATTTAATTTAATTTTAAATAAGTTGGTATGTTTTGAAGACATTCTAATAATAGCTATTAATTTGTAGGCTTATTTTGTCCTCGGTGGTGCTGTCGTGTCTGAGGGCGCAACACTGCTAGTTGCATTAAGCGCAATAAGGAAAGGCGCCAAAGAAGCCAATGTTCGGACATTGGATTACAGTAAATATAATATATTTTTCACTATTTAGATGTATATTTATTGTATTTATATTTTTGGACAATAATTAAATGGTGTGATCAAAATGAATAGATCAATCTAAACAGAGTCTATAGGACCAGACTATTGACAAAAAATGTTTATAAGTTAGTAACAATTTCTACGTTAGTTGTTCCTTTCCTTTAAGTTGTTAACTACTTTCCGCATCTTCAGACGCGTAAAAAGTTATTTTTCCATCAAAAGGGAACAGTGCTTTTTTGGGTTAAAAGTGCCTTACGTTCTCTTCTGTACTCCTGATTCCTGACTACTTTCATGAATGATATCATGATGATACTATCGTTTCGCAGTTAAGGGCTTGAAGTCTCAACATATCCAACTAAAATACATACTTACTTTTATTAAATGTATTATTAGGTCCTATTATAGTAAGTGTAATAGTAATAAACGGTAAACAGGTGTAACTTATCTATGTATGTATTTAGAAATATATAAGTAAGAAGATCAGCACTCTGGTTAGCATAGCACACTCTGCTTAGTTTGGCAGCAGGAAGCCATGGGTGAATTTATTATATTAATTTATTTATGATTATAGTGACATTTCCACCAATGCCGAAAAAATTTAAAAGTAATTTATGAAAATTAAAGCTGTTACATTTTTTTTTCTTATGTATAAATTATTCTTTCGAGTTTTTGCTTTGGCCTCCCTTAACAGTTAAGTTTTAATATTAAGTGTATATTTAATGTCTGTTGCAAAAACTTAAATTTCAGTCATGCGGAGTTCAGATCCTTCGGTGAACGTCGTATTATTGGAAGATAGTGCGGCCGTTGCCGGCGTCGTGGTAGCGTCAACTTGTATGGCGATAAGTCAGTATACAGGCAACCCACTGCCGGATGCTGTAGGTTGTATTTTAGTGGGATCAATCCTTGGTTGTGTCGCATCGTTCATCATTCTCACTAACGTTGGTGCATTGGTTGGCAGGTATTTATTGAATCCCTCCATGTACTATTACTACTATTTTAATGAGACCTAATCTACTCAGCCCTGACTAGATGAATGACATACCTACATTTTATGTATTATTTTTAAGGATTTTAAGTTACCCAATTAATCTCTTTTCTCATTTTTATTGTTTCGAACAGATCTATACCACAGGAGCAGTTGGATGAAATTAACAGTTTTCTAGAACGAGATTTTATGATAAGAGCTATTCATGACGTCAAAGGAATAGATATGGGAAGTAATCTGATAAGATACAAGGTATTTCTGAACTTATTTTATTTTCAGATACAATACATACGAACTGTATTGAAAGTAGAACTTAATTCCAATTTTGTCTATATTTGAGCTCAAGATTCACAGTGAAGCCGATGCCAATTCATTAATAGAAGCAAATAAAATGAACAAAAACAGTGTTTCCATTTATAAAGTTGCTAGAATTTTCATTTTATTTTTTTCAGGCTGAAGTGGATTTTGATGGCCGAGCTTTGACGCGGTCCTACATTGAAAAACACGATTTAAATACTTTACTAGAGGTAACACAACACTTGTTAAACTAAATTTTCAGCTCTATTGCCTTTTTTCAATTACTTTTAAACAACTTTAATTGCTTTTCTATCCTAGGACATCAAAAAAATATCAACAATTGATGACGTAGAAGCATTTTTACTGAAACATGGTGAAAATATTGTTGATATGTTAGGAGGAGAAATTGATCGAATAGAGTTAAAACTGAGGGTAAGATATTTACAACTGACATAGGTCTTATTTGCTACTGTTCGATGTTTGTAACACTTATTTCTTTTCATTTCAGAAAAAGTTCCCTCAAGTTCGTCACTGTGATTTAGAAATACTTTAATATGTTATATAGATATTATATTCTGTAAAAATTGTAGCATATTTGATAGTTGCACAGCAAAACTAGTCATTGCTAAACAAATCACAAAGGAAATGAAAAAAAAAACGGCGATTAATTTACAGTGTTCGCTCCTCAAGAGTGAGTCTTTAAAAAGTAAATTTATAATAATTCAGTTTGTACGATGCCGTAGCCTGGCGTAGATATAAATGCTAGACAAAACTATGTATGATATTGTATATTATAAATTAGACGGCGTTGTAACCTTGCGCAGCTTTTTAATGTTTTATGTGATTACCAACCTTATAACAAGCCACAAATTTCAGCAACGTAAGTATTGGTATGGCATAATCGGATCTGTTGGGAATTAAGGAATTCACGTTTGGAGGCCCTGAGAATCTGTAGGATCTTTTATCGAAATAAAATATAGTAACTAAAAAATAAATAGTTTTAAAACGACTCCCTGGTCGTCATCAAGCTTTCGATTTTTAACACCACACTACACAAATAGTCAGAATCATCAAATGTTGCTGGAACTGTCTCTGTGACCCGGTAAAGTAGTAGGTAGGTATCAGCGGAATTCCAGTCTAATATTTTTTAAGGTACTTTTATCTAATTGGTACCTATTTCACATTTTTTATTATATTATATGTTAAAGATAGATATATTTTATACAATGAATGCTAATGAGGCAAAATGTTGTTGCTCTGTTTGTTGGATTCATCTTAAGGTCGTAGAGCAAGATTCGACATTTTAACGTAGCATTGGCGCCGGTCTTCATCAGAGTAGATTTAGATTTTCAGTCAGTGGGTGTGTTACGTGACTTGGAAAAGTGTAACACCGAATATCACGTCCCAAAAAGTTTAGTAATACGAAACACTTAACAATGAATGCAAGCTACCACGAAAAACTTAACGCCGTCTCGAATATCGAAATCTCTAATTCATACAGCACCATTAGGTAGGCGCTATTACTTCACGTAAATCGCATATTAGTTTAATATTAAATAAATGATAAGTACCGAATTGCAAAAATATATCTTTTATGGAAATCGTTTGAAAACAATTATTGCAGTTAAAATAAACAAGCTATAATTTTATTACACAGCTATTTCTTAAAGTCTATACTACTCTGTTATTAAATAGGAATTTGGTGTTAATTTCAAGTAGTTATTAAATGTTAAAATCTATAACTGGTGTAGTATTATTTTTCGCTCAAAATGTTTTTTTCCTATTCCGGTGCTCTCGCTCTACTCTAGGGCCGGCGCTACATAAGACAATATCAGTTTCATTTCTGGTTCTGTCTATTGCTACTTATAATTATGTATAGGTAGAGGTTAACTAATTCCTTAATAAATAAGTAAAAATAATTTTAATTCATAAGTACATAAAATAATTGATAACACTAATTAAATATAAATTTTCACTAAAGTTAAACAGTTGAAATGTGGTCAAGGTGGTATGGCAACATACCTGTATCATTTACAGGACTAGCGATATATTTTCTCTTGTTAAAATTATTTTACTTTAATGAAATATGGCAGCACTTTTATAAACCACGAGGTCCCGTTTTCGCTCGACCCCTCCCTTCATAAATTTTATTACGAACACCCACAGAACAGCTCTGCTAAATACATTTACCCTTACAAACCTTCAACCTTTGATAATACGGGGTGTAGGGTGTATTCTCCACTTGACGTCAATAACGTCGTTAATAAAGGCTTTCTATCCACCCATTGGAAGACATTCCATTTCCCTCTATGCCTGTTTAAGAAATAGACATACTAGTGCCTTGATTTTCTTTATTCTCAAAGTAGTTCTTCTTAAATGTTGTATTTCTCTGTGATTTAGAATTGTATAATATGTGTGTAACGTAAATTAGATGTAAGCACTGACATGGATTTATTAAATATATTATTAGGATTGACAATTTCTAGACTTTTATTGAGTCATAGTCGTACAACTATGACACGTTTAAGTTTACAGATGCGACAGAACAGTGGTTCGTTGGTGACTATTTTTAAAACGGTAAGTTCGATAATAGGCAATGTTTTTTTCGTTTTGAAAAAAAAATAGCTGCATTTCTAACAAAGACGATCGCTCAAGCTTGTTTGGGTTTAATTCGTCTGACTTTACTGTTAGAATGGTACCTACATCATGCAAAGTAAAGTTCTAGAAAAAATCTGTAATTGAAGCTACGAGCCATACGTAATGCTATATTATGTGGCCGAGGTGTATCAAGCTGTATCTATGAAGGTGACCGCGTGCGGCGCTGTGATTGGCCAGCCCGAAATCTCCACCAATCGCAACGCTAAACGCGCTCGCCGTCGAGAGTAGTGATGAAAGGACTCTGCTTATAAACCTTAATAATTAAGACTAGCCTCGATTATGAAGATTCGACTCCAAAATTACGACTTGAGGCTTGTTACTAATGTGCAAGATCTCGAGTCATTAAAAACGACTCGAGTTCTTTACTAGGAGGTTCAAGGTTTAGTCGCGAGTCTTTTAAGTAATGAACTCGAGTCGTTTAATATGAGACCATAATTAGTTAAAATTCAGTTTATGATTATTACATATTTATTACAGATCAGGAGGTACTGAATACTAGTAATTTAATGTTAGAGTAAGAGTGGCCATATGCCGCTCTTACTCTACACTCTTCAAGTGTAACAGTTCCACTACGAAATGCGTTTTTTATCGTACGGCTAAACGGCATTATTTAAGGTCCACTTGCAAGGAAAGCAATGTCTAAGTGGATCACTTATGTGTTTGTATTTTCTACCCATGATATTGTACAGTAAATATCTAAATTTAAAATCATATATTCAAATAAATCAATATTTTTTTATCACTGTTTATTTTGAATGATGACGGGCTCGTGGCTAAGTGATAACCGAGTAGGTTAACACAATGCAAAGTTAAGTAATCCTAGCCAGGTCAGTCCATGGATAGGTGACCATTCTTAACACATAGGAACCCCTCCTAAATAAAAAGGTTCGAACCCTTTTGAAAACAACTAAGTTCGTGAGCCTTGCGATTCGCAAGTCGTGACATGCTTACGTAAGTACGCGTTAACAACATGTTACATATAATGTTTGTGGGCTTGTTGGTATGTTCTGTTTGTGACAACGAAATACAAAAGTATATATGCTTGCTAATTGAGACAGAAGACAGATATGTTATCTCGGTGGTGTAACCACAAAAAAGATCCTCACTTTTGTCACAAATGGTCTTTGTACCTACCATCTTGGCTCGACATATTACTTATAACTTAAAGTGATACAGGCAGAAGAAACGGACCATGATAGTTATACGAAAATTTTATTGATGAATATGGAAATTGACCTTTCAGCTTTTGACTTGATAAAATACATAATTATTTCACATGCATTATAATTATGAAATCAAGTCCTGTCATCAGTAGTCGAGAGCGAGTCGATGTGAAATAAACTTGCATTCAGCCCTCTGAAATATGCTAACAGCGATACTACTGTGTGAAAATTGCAAGTGCATAATGTCTATTTGCGAGCCTGCATTTATCCGAAAAAAAAAATAAGGCAAGTTTTAATGTTATTTGGGTTAAACAGATATATGACGAATACTTTACATTTAGCAAATTATTAGTAGTCATTTACATCACGAAAGCTTTCAATATCTACCTAAAACCAGGGACTACCAGACTTGTTTTTTTACTTCGAATATAAACTTTCCTTAGTAAGTAAAATGTAAATTTCATTTGTGCTTATTTGTAGTAGTTTTTATTACTTATGAATTTAAACAATGTCATATGTACCGTGTTTTAAAATTTGAATGAATGTAAATGAAAAATATATATTTTAATCATATTTTATTTAGTATAAAAATAACAAATCCTTTTAACTTACATGCTCGATAGTTAATCTCGGCCCTAAAATGGCGTGAGGCAAATTAAAGATTAACATAATTGACTATAAAACAATTCTGATTAGACTAAATAATCTAACATAAGTATTTTTCGTTTATAAAATGCTTTAAGTTACTAAGTGAATGCTATAAAATTATAAACATTTTTAGAAACTGACAAATAATCTGTCACGTCTTTGCTGCAGTGAACCAAAACTATGAACCCAGTTCAATCACCAATCAATCAATTTTATTTGATTATTAATTGTCTTTTGTGTGTTGAGCATAAATAAGTCTTTTAAATTTAACTTTTATTTTACATTTTTATGTTAGGCAGTAAGCAGTCAATAAAAAACTGTCAATTTTTTTTTTCAAGGTGATCTTTTTTTATATAATAGAATTTATTGTGGTCAAGTATTTAAAGCACTCGAGTTATATCATTTATTTATTATGCACAATGATTTTACAATCGCTCAACAAGTATACAAAAAAGGCGTTTCCATCGACACTAGACGCTAACCAGTAATCCCTGTGTAAATAACTTATTAAAAATGCAATTATTGTTGCGTATTAAACTTGACGCTGGTAGATATTCATCGAAGTCAACGCTGGTAGCCATAACATAAGTCAGGTTATAAGCCGTACTATTGGAAAAGTTATGCTCTATATACCAGGTTTAGTTTGTGGCAGGCAAAGATTATAATGAGCAGTTTTATTCCAAAAGTCAGATGGTTTCCAACCACACCATCCCTTACTGATTACAGTGGTCAAATCATCTGCACCCGTATAGTGAGGGTCTAAAATAAGATAGCGTATCTCATTTGTGTCGGTGTTGTATTCTACGCCTAGTATTGTGTGTGCCAGCACTCCACCACCTATAAAAGAATCGTATTTTAGTCTTCATAGGAAGCTTATGAGTTTTACCTAGTTCAGTTTTCAGCGAATTTATTAACAAACTAGTCTGTACTCACCTATCATAATGGGACTTCCATGCGTCTGGAAATGATGAACCAGCTCAGGAGCATAACTCTGCAGCTCTGTTCCAGTATTAGCAAAGACAATCCTGGACTGCACTCCTAACAATGTCTCTAGGCAAAACATGACCTCTGTAGAACCTATCCATTGCTTTGAACCTAGGAAAGAGGTTGGCTTGTCGCCGATTTTAACAAGGCACTGTTGAATATCTCTATGTGTTGGCACTTCTACTGTTGTGTATCCTTGATACCTAAAACGAATATAATGACATTACAGTTTATAAGCAAGTTTTTATTTTATCATACTATTGCTAATACACGTTTTACGTTTGAACGTAAATCACATTTGCCTTTACGCGATTCTAGGTGGCAGAATAATCCTGATACATGTATTTTTAATTATATAATATTAAACTATGTTTGGTTTATATGTAATTATAATTAAGGACAGCAAACTAGAGTTCATCGTTGGTTGCTACTTGCTAAGTTAGCTGGTAGGGTGCTAGTTATAGTTTGAAGTTACTAATTAAAATGTCACAGTTATACAAGTCTCATGTACACGACACTTACCTAAACCATGAAAATATCGTCTGCATTGAGCGGTAAGCACAGCCCCATCCATCGTCGTTAAAGTTGTCTTGCATATAATGATGGTAGGTATATCGGCCTCGAACCAATGCCACGGTGACGTCAGACTTCGAAGGTGGCAACGGAATGGCTTCATGGGGATTGACTAACCGACCCCCACTTTTCTCAGTATATGCGTTACCTCTACGAAATACAGGCTTGTTTTGTTGAATGCCCAGCTGTTCGTGTAACAGACGTCTTTCTTTTTCTGAAAAGTAGTGAACAACGCTAGTCATTCGGTCTTGTATGTTTAAGCAGAAATTGTAATGAACTAAATATATTACTGCTCGCGTAAAAGGACTTGACATAAAAGATTTATAAAATTTTATCTCTATTATTTTAATCATTTTGGATGTGTACTGTTCGGAGACAAGTCCTATACATATTTTTTTAAATTGTGGGGAGATGCAAATTTATATGTTACAGTATGTTTAAAAATTTAAAAAAAACTATTTAATTAAATAGTTCAATTGATAGAAAGCCTAAAATAACATATATAAAGAAAAGATAATTACTAATTCTTATATTTTCCCTTAAGAAAAAAATAATTTTGTATCCGTGAGTCACGTGTTTGGTATTTGCAAAACACCAATCAGAATATGTTTCGTAGTCGTACAATTTTGACTTATTAAACAAAAAGCTGTTTTGCTTATCTTGTTTTAGTAAATATTAATTTGTTGTAGCTAAGTGATTTGAATTTCTGGCAAACTATTCAAGTTCTGTCTTTATTGTGTTCTTCTGAATACAGAAATGTTAAAATTTCTATGTGAGTATAGTGCTAATTTTACACTTGCATTAAATTTTCATACAAAATTAAAGTACTCTAATGACGTAGTCACATAAAATAATTTAGCGTTTCAAACTATTTTTGAGAAGTTGTCATCGCCCGGACTTGGTTGTCTTTTTTCACACGTCGAATATAAAAAAGAAGATCAAGATGTTCTTATTGATAGATCTATGGTTGGTCAGTTCGGGGGCCAGACATTTACTTAGAAGCGGGCAATAGCTACTTCTAATTAAATTAATTTCATACCCATAAGTTCATCAGGAATTCCTTTAGGTACTATTCTAGTTACAAAGTGACCTAGTTCTTGTGGTAGAAAATGGAATGTTTCAGGTAAACGTAGACCAGCACCATCTCCGATACCTTCTTGACCTGTTAAATACACATTTCAATATTATTTCTATTATTTCTATAATTCTATTGCATATTAAATGTAAATAAATACATACCCAATTGTTCTAGTAGCACACTTTCTAGTAATCGTAGCGACCTACAAACGGCTTCGACAAGTACAGTGTACAGTTCCAATAACTTCGTGTTACGATGAATTATGGCTAGCGTGTCTATTCGTAACGGCATACTGATGCAAAATGCCGCTGCAAACATATCGAAATATACACTATATTATGATTTATAACCTGTTAAACATTATTTAAGTATTATTATTGCACATAAAGTTATTATAAGATATGGAGGACACACATATTCTCACGCTCTACATCATTAATTCAGAAGATGATTGATATTTACTCACGTTTTCTCTGTGTCGTCATCATTTTAACTGCAGTTTTTACTTGTTTATCAGACAATATATCTTTTGTTGTCTTCATTACAAGATTTACGGGTACAATTTCCTAAAAAAATTGAGAATAATTCGCCAATTATTTAGATCTATCATTTTTAAAAGTTTAGTTTCAACTACTCATTAACCTGCTTTAGATAATCTGAAGTGAATAGAAAAAACTTGGTGAAAATTGTAAATGCTACTAGGCACTTTCTAGAAACGAAAGTGATAATTATGACAATTTTATTGAGGCTTCTCAAGTTCAAAGATTCTCGACATGCGACTGTTATAAACGTAAAAGGTAGCATTTGATAACATCGCTCTGACATTCAACAGACCAAAGAAGTCTGTACATTCCAGTTTTTTATAAAAACGCAATTGGGGAAGCAGTGGATACAGATTAGCATAAGCCAAACCAAGTAGTGGAGTTTTCAGGGCTGCGAAGAAAACCTCTATACTTAGAATGATCTTTCAGGCTTAGTCTCTTCTCAGCAATGAGTCTGAGGTCTGAGACATTGTATCCTGACACATTTATGCATATACATAAAGGAAATAGAAAATGAAGTCCGAAACTGACATTAAAGAGCTTGAGTTTGCAAAACTCTGTAATTCGCTAAAAAGCTTTTTTGCAGGTCCTTGCCTTAGTCTGAGAGGTTGGTTCTTAATTAGAATTACTCACTTCATTATTTGGATAAAGAGCAAGATACATAATATGTATGATTTTTTGTTAGCTCTAGGTATAATCTTGATGTGTTAAAGTGTTGAAACATTTTTGTTAAGCATTTAATAACAGCCCAGAATGTAATAACATAGTTATACAATGTTATTACATTCACATACATCAACACAAAACAGAAGCTCATACAAGATGGATATCTTAGTCTTAAGCTATCAACAACTGACTGACTTAAAAATACTTACTACATTGTTTGTATTATGCTTCTTTTTCTTAGTTGCCTGTTCTGGGTTCATAGAGTCAATGAGCTCTCCAATAGTTGCCTCAGAACTTGTTCCAGTAAGTCCTACATCTGATGCTACCCCAAACAAGTACACAGATGTGCCATCAAGATGAAAAGAAACCTGTCCTGATGCAATCTGTAATATAAAAGGTTTTGTGTGTAATTGTTTCTACTGATAATGTGATGAAACAAAAAATGATGTAACCTGTTGCCTAGCCAAAATTAATTCACTTGATGTATGTCGTATAATAAAAAGAAAATGACGTGTATGTAATTGTAAAAACAATCATACACATGTATACAAGCATTGTTTGCCAAGTAATGACTATATCCCCAAAGATATAAAACCTTACAATGGTTTTTCATGCACATTGGTAGCAAAAGTGATAGGCAATAATCAAATTAAAGTTTGAAAGAACAATAGCATTAAAATACATTAACTAAATATAATAATAATTTTAATTTAAACATCTTACACATGGTGACGAAATATAAAAAAAAACACATCAAGCCAGCGTGATATAGTAGGCCACAACCTCCTTCCTAAGGAGACCCCTATGCCCAGTAGTGGACTGTTATAGGCTGATGATGTGATGTGTGACATATGATGGCCTGATCCCACCCTAGGCAGAGCCTGTGCTATAATAACCAGAATGCTATTAAACAAACTTATTTATACATATATTTTTAAATACATGAATTATAAATAAATTACACCCAAACACAGAACAAATGATCATGCCCATTACAATTATTATTACACACAATTTTGAAAATTGTGTTTAAATTTTTAGTTACCTTTTTTCTCTTATTTTGCAAAATATTTTTAACACCCGATGTAGTGGCTTCACAACTCAGAGGCAATACAGTATTTAGGCGAACATGAACAAATTGTTTCCACATATCTTCGCTATTTAATACTTCATATTTTGTTTCTTCAAACTTATCATGCACCAAAAAATGAGCTTTCATTTCCTTCTTCTCATTAACTATCATGACCAGAGGATTGTCTGTTATATCCACATCCTGCAAAAAAATATAAATTACAGATATCATTACATGCTGTGCAATTAAAATTTGAACCAATACCAATGATGTACACATTTGGTGAAGATGTAGGTAAACAAAAATAAATCATATTTTAAATGTGATGCATGCATATTTAGGTCTACAAGGCACTAAATGAGTTACATAAAAATAAAAGTTCTTCATAAGAAAATGATTCACTCTTGTTAAACACTTATTTCAAATGGCATAATCTAATATTATGGACATGTTTGCTGTAAAATTATTGTCAAATTAACTAACTTAATGTTTGTTGCTTTCTATACCTTGAATTAATATTGTTACACATATATGGTTAAAACTTATGTTTACCTGCAATATCTCTTTCATTCTCGTTCCTATCGTTAAAGCTTCGCCGAACTTGACTACGCCACATAATTCTACTTCTGCGGGCAGGTTTAGTAATAACTGTCTGTATGTATTTTTTTCATTTTCAAATAAATCTAAGCTTAGTCCAACCACAAGCAATGTGCCATCGTACATGAGGCCGAATAGGCATCCTGTACTCTCATCCGCGTCTATCTTAGACAACCTCTGAAAATAAAGTTTGTTAAAATTAATTGCAATATAAATTATGCCTTACAAAAGTTAAATTAATATTTAACAAATGTGACTAGTTATGGTGATGACGTATTTAATTAATAACAATTAATAGAGATTTTCTGCAAATAAACTGTATGTAAATGAAAGATAAACATTATAATTACATAAAAATGATGTTTTTAGATCTCTACTAGTTAAGGTTAAATAAAAATAAAATAGTTTACCTCAATAACATAATTTGATATTTTGAGACGTGGTGACATTTTATCCGATTATTGCAAGTGGAAAATAATCTTGATGTCAACAATACAAATTATTGCCATATGTACCTAATATAATTATTAATATATAATGTTCATCCGTTAGTTTGAATACTTAAAAGATGAAGTAAAATTATTTAGTTTAAATTTGTTATTAAAACAGATTTTCAATCAATCAATCAATCAAAGAGTGGTAGTGGGGTTTTGTAGTAGAAGAAATTGATTTTTTTTATCGTAGTGTAACCATTTTCTATTCATAGATACATCTATACATTTTTTTTTTCTACACTCGTGTCTTTTATCTCCACACGGGCAGATAGAGGCGAATTAAATGCCCAGATTTGAGTCACACTTTTCGTACGTAAATAGGGGCCTATTGCCGTCAAACGAGTGTGCGTTACCCCAGCAAAATAATATCGAAAATGGTCATTTAAACGTTATAGAAAATTAGTTGCTCCCCTTCTGTAATTGTTAGGCACATTTTTAAATTTGTTTCACTTAAACTTTTTTAGTTATTTCAAAAAAACATTTCCTGCTGGGGTAACGTTTGAAACGTTACCGCAGCCAGACATTTTCTTTTTTAATTGTAATATTGAAATAAATGTTAGCTAAATAATTAGTTATCTGGACTAGATAAATGTTAAAACTTATTTGGTATTTGTATTTTCTTCGGCTGCGAAGTTATTCGAGATCCTGCTGGAGTAACGTTTGTGGGTTTGCTGGATCTCTGAAACGGGTAAGCGGATTGTAACCATCTTTTGTACATAACTTCTTAAGGATTAGTTTTAATTTGTTCGACAATAAAATAACGTAAATAATGGACCGTTTAAAAATTATTTAGGTAAGTATGAAAACACTTCAATACGTCCTAACACTTTGAATAAGACCTCTAAAGACTTACTTCAAACGTTATTCTATTGCTTGTAACTACCTTCAAATGTATACGAATTTTCGTAAGAATACTGTAAGTGACTAAAAAGTTATGATGAAATGTAGCTCTCCACGTTCACGATCACAATGTGTGCGGCCTTTTTTGGCCACTGATAAACCTGTGTGTGGATGTATAAACTGAATGTTATGCCAATAATTAGTTGTTAAGTTCAGTTGTTTACCTGTAGAATTTCAGCGTCGTACATATAATAATTTACGAGATAATTAAATAAAAGTCATTAGAAGGTGCAAGTCCGTGGTAGCAATAGAATAACGTTTGAAATAAGTCTTTAGAGGTCTTATTCAAAGTTTTAGGACGTATTGAAGTGTTTTCTTACTTACCTAAATAATTTTTAAACGGTCCATTATTTTTGTTATTTTATTGTCGAACAAATTAAAACTAATCCTTAAGAAGTTATGTACAAAAGATGGTTACAATCCGCTTACCCGTTTCAGAGATCCAGCAAACCCACAAACGTTACTCCAGCAGGATCTCGAATAACTTCGCAGCCGAAGAAAATACAAATACCAAATAAGTTGTAAATTTACCTAGTCCAGATAACTAATTATTTAGCTAACATTTATTTCAATATTACAATTAAAAAAGAAAATGTCTGGCTGCGGTAACGTTTCAAACGTTACCCCAGCAGGAAATGTTTTTTTGAAATAACTAAAAAAGTTTAAGTGAAACAAATTTAAAAATGTGCCTAACGATTACAGAAGGGGAGCAACTAATTATCTATAACGTTTAAATGACCATTTTCGATATAATTTTGCTGGGGTAACGCACACGTCAAACGAGCACATAGGTATATTTATAAAAAACATATTTTATATATTTCTAAGTACATACATATTTGATAAAAGCTTTATGTTTCGTTTAATTATTGGCAACTTTATTCAATCAAATAGAAGCCATCCTTAACAGTCGTCCCTAACTTCTCTGCCATCGCCTTCTATGGAGAGCTGACTAGATCGTTACCAGAGACTTGAAGCTGTTATTTACTGCTAGATACGTTAACATTTTTGGAAACGCTGGCAACTAGAATACATCGCTGAGCTCCAACAGCGAACCAAGTGGCGCATACCAGACTCCGCTATTCAGCTGGGTGAACTGGTGCTTCTTAAGGAGGACAATGCCGCCCTCTGCATTGGCACCTTTGCCGAATTTCAATTCTTTCCTGGACCAGACGGAATTTGTTACTACTACCACTGGCACCTCTTGACCAGGCGTAAAATACGAGGGCCCCCAGGATGTTCACCCCGTGTCTGGCCGGTGCTGCGGCGGAAGGAGTTTACATATATACATTTTGAATATTGTAAATTGGGCTTTCGGGTGGCCTGGATAAGACAGAGGCCCTCTTATTCCATGGGCTCCGTCATGGTCCGACCCCCGGTGCCTCAATCGTGGTCAACTCGGTCCTCGTACCGGTTCAGGCCCAGATGAAATATCTGGGCCTGATCTTCGACGGGAGGTGGCTCTTCGACGAGCACTTCCGACAGCTTGCTCCAAAGCTGGTCGGCGCTGCGTCTGTCCTTGGGCGACTTTTGCCAAATCTAGGTGGACCCAGCGTCGCTACAAGACGGCTGTACATGGGGGTCGTTCGGTCAATGGCACATCATACGGTGCACCGGTTTGGGCGGTGGCTCTGACCGCTCGGAATAGGGCAAGCCTTTGGCGCCCTTAGAGGATATTGGCGGTTAGAGCCATACGCGGTTACCGCAACGTTTCGATGGAGGCGGCGTGCGCATTGGCCGGAACACCCCCGTGGGATTTGGAGGCGGAAGTGCTCGCCGAAGTATATCGGCGGACGGCTGAGTTCCTGGCGGGTAGCGGCATTCGGCCCCCGTCCGAAGAAATACGCGAGTGGCGTGAGGCCGCTCGCCGAGCCACAATGGCTCGTTGGTTGTCCCGGCTGGAGGCTCCACGTGCTGGTTTTGCCACCGTGGAGGCGCTCCGGCCGGTCATTGTCGAGTGGGCAGGGCGGCAGTACGGGAAACTTTCCTTCCGACTGACGCAGGTCCTTTCCGGGCACGGCTGCTTCGGAAAGTACCTGCACTCGGTCGCTAAGAGGGAATTGAGTCCCGCCTGTCACCACTGCGATTGCAGTGAGGACTCGGCTCAGCACTCGCTGGCAAATTGTTCGGCATGGGCGTTGCAGCGCCGGGTTCTCATTGCAGTCATCAGGGGGATCTCTCGCTACCGGCCGTCATACGCTGCATGGCCCGTAGTGACAGATCCTTCTGCGAAGACGTCATCTCGTAGGAGGCGGCGGAGAGGGCCCGGGAGGACAACATCCACTCGGCGACGGGACGGGTTTTCCCCTCCACCCGCATAACGGCCAGCCGCGAGGAGGCTACGTCCGCATGTGCCGGACGTCGCCTAAATAGAAAATCTACCCGAAGGTGGTGCCCGCGCCGTTGTGGGCAGGCGCTGAGAGGGGTCCGGATGTCTTAACAGCAGTTCCCGGATCCCTCCTATTACAGGCGCAGTGGCGCAGAGTGGCACACCGTGTGGTTTTAGTCGGTCCGATTCCGACACACCACCCCGCCGCAAACCCCGGTGGGGTGACGGCCCGAGGGGGTTTACACGCAAAAACAAAAGGACATCAAGTAGATTTGAAATTCGCTGTTTTGTCTTCAAAACATGGTTACACTGTTTGTCAGTGAAAATCAGGTCAACCTAAGTGGATGGCACATAGTAAACTGACTCAATTTTGTCTTTTGTCCTCTCAGAAAGAATAAAACAAAAGTAAGGAATTCACACTGTATTAGTTTTGCTTTCATAGTTCTTAATACAAACATCTATTACTTCTTCTGCAAGTTGAGCACGCTCTTTAGCTATCTTCAGTGCTTTCTCTTCACAATCTACTGAAAAGTTACTACCACCAAACTTTTGGGAACTACATAGGAAACCTTTGTTGTAGCACAATATTAGATTAGCACCTAATCCTCCACACATATCTTCTTCATATGATGAAGGATCAACCAAAGTGACATTTCTGAAAATAAAAGGAGTATTTTTTATGTATGTAAGAGATAGTCTTAATTTATTTACACAACTTTATGCACTTTTGTGCAACGGCAGATTTAATGCCTAGGCCATTCTCTAATAGTCACCACTTGGGTGGTGTAAAAATCTTGTAAGGTTACATACTTAAAGAGATTACATGTTATGTCATCAGTGAAAATATGTTTTTAAATAAATTCATATCTAAAAACTATAATCGCATTGGTCATCCAGATTTCAAGTGGGCGCACATTCCAAAGTAGAACTGCTGAGTTGTGTTCACAAAGTCAGAGTTATGGGAGGGACACAAAGAAGCAAATTATTTGCTGAATATTTCTGTTGTGATAGAAGGCAAGAAACAAAAGTAGGGAGTCATAAAGTGCATAGAGAGGTTAGTGCTGGCTGATTGGTCCACAAGAGAATAGGTACCTACTTAAATTGGGAATGTAAAGCAGATGCATGGTCATACTTATGAAGATTGAAAATGTATTGAATGCAGTTATTAAAAAGATGATATGGCTTATTAAGGTCTTCATTCAACAATAACCATCACCATAGTTAAAATATAGAAATTATTATGGACTGCATAAGAGTAGTTCTATTATTATTATTCTCTTTATTAAATTATATATACATATTAATTACATTTTTAAATATATTACAAAAGAAATAAAAATACATTTAAAAATATAAAAAATAGTAGACCACCGACATCGGGTACAGGTACCAAGACACCAGTGGTTAGGACTGCAAAGATAGGAACCTCCTCACTATACGAGCCGTGTCAAGGAGGACTGCCTTCTGTATCAGACCCTTGATCCAGCCGTCCAACGTGAGCCTCTTAAGGTGTTGGTCGAGGCTCTTGGCTATCAATCCGTGAGCAGATACGACTATCGGAACAATTATCACTGAATCGACATTCCACATATCGACAATCTCGTGAGATAAATCCAAATATTTTATTTGTTTTTCTTTTTCAACTTTCACGAGATTCTCGTCATGAGGAACGGCGATATCAACAATAATTGCGCGGCGCTCTAATCGATCTATCACTACAATATCAGGCTTATTAGCAACAATAGTCCTGTCTGTGATAATAGATCGATCCCAATACAACGTGGCCCGACCATTCTCGAGAACTGGGTCGGGCACATACCTGTAGTATGGCACCTCTAGATTCACAAGACGGTATTTAAGGGCAAGCTGTTGGTGTACAATCCTGGCTACTTGGTTGTGCCTATGCAAATACTCACCGTTAGCAAGACGAGAACAACCAGAAATGATATGCCTGATTGATTCCCCAGGACGGTGACATGCCCGACAGATGTCAACCGTACCATCTTTCAGGATATATTTCCGATAGTTATTCGTCATGATAACTTCGTCCATAATCGCACAAACAAAACCTTCAGTTTCTCCGAAGAGATCACCATACCGTAGCCAAGTCGTAGATGCTTTAAAGTCTATATCGGACCCGTTTAGGGCCCGATAAAACCGGCCATGGAGCTCTTTGCCCTTCCATACTTCCCTACGATCATTAGTACTAAATACTACAGGTTTGCGCCAATTCTCTTTAGCCAGAGCGAGCGGGGTGAATCCGATATCCACTGCAACTACATTGCGATGCATTCCCACATCGGTATGTAGAAAATATTCTCTGAGATTGCATATCTCCCGATTGTGTAGGGTCTTGATATTTAATAATCCGCGACCCCCTAGCTTTCGCGGGATATACAATCTCATAACCGATGAACGTGGGTGGTGCATTCGAAATGCAGTCAGCAATGTACGGACTCTCCTATCAAGGGCATCTAGTTCGGTCTGAGTCCATTTAAGTATACCAAAGGAGTACATCAGAATCGGCATGACCCAACCATTGCAGGCTCGCACCTTGTTGCCCCCCGATAAAAGACTTTTAAGTACTTTTTTCAAACGGCCAAAAAAGCGTTCCTGCAACGTTTGTTTCATGTCAGATTCTGGTATGCCTAACGACTGTGATATACCCAAATACTTGTAAGTTTCAGTGGCAGACAGAGATCTGAGTGTTGTTGAATCGGAAAGCTCTATTCCTTCAGATTCTACTATCTCACCCTTCTTTACATACATGACTGCACACTTGTCTACACCAAATTCCATTTTGATAGAATTACTAAAGTTTTCCGTCACCTTCAGTAACGCTGACAATTGTAATTTGGTGGGGGCTAGTAGTTTCAAATCATCCATATAAAGAAGGTGAGATATAACTTGATCGTCTTTCTGCAACCTATAGCCTAGCCCTGAACCCTCTAATAAAGTGCTAAGAGGGTTCAAAGCCAGGCAAAACCACAAGGGACTCAGACTATCACCTTGAAATATACCCCGCTCAATCTTTATTGGTGCATCAATTACCGTCGTCTGCCGACATCCTGGATAACGAAGCACTGTTCTCCATTGCCCCATACATGACATCAAGAAAGTGCACAGAGTTGTATCAATTTTATACAACTCCAGCACCCTCAAAAGCCATGTATGTGGAACCGAGTCATAAGCCTTCTTATAGTCTATCCAACATGTCGCCAAACTCTTACGATTACGACGCACCTGTTGGCTAATGGCCCTGTCTATAATAAGGAGGTCTTTAGTGCCACGGCTCCCACTTCTACATCCATTCTGAGAAACTGACATAATCGAATTATTATTAATGTGTAAAGTAATTTTGAGTCTCAGAATAGATGTAAGAAGTTTGTACATGGTTGGTAAACATGTAATAGGTCTAAAATTTTTGGGATCCATGACACTACCAGACTTATAGAGTAAGTGGGTTATACCAGTGGTTAAAAATTGGGGTAATGAACCCGAATTTAAAGCTGCCTGGAATTGAGATGCCAAACACGCATGTGAGCTTCGGAACCACTTAAGCCAAAAGTTGTGCAGTCCGTCTAAACCAGGTGATTTCCAATTTGGTAATGAACGAACTGCACAGCTTACATCATCTTTATCAATTATAACTGGTTCCATAGGGTTTATAGACTCACATGAGCGTCTGACATCCCGCAACCAATCACCTTCTATATGAGTGACAGGCACCGACCAGATGTTCCGCCAAAAAGTATGTGTGACATTTTCATCTGGCAAATGCCCATGACTCACACATGGATCCGGTTCCTCCCATTTCCGGTACACCCACTTCTCATTTCTTTGGAACATCCGATTCTGATTATACCGATCTATTCGTTTTTTGTACCGTCTTAACCTATTTGCCCATGCATAAATTTTCTGCTTTAGAAAGTCTATGCGCTCTGTGACACATGACATGTACTGTTGAGGACCAATGGTAGTCCCCAAGAAAGCCTGTTTCACAAAGCGCATCACTCTCGGCCGCGTATTCCCTGATCGAAAACTAATTAGCTTACCAATAAGCACCCTGGTCTCAGCAATACGACGTTCAATTCTACACTGCCAAGCTGGTACAGTTGATTTAGGTCGAGTAGTAGTGACATTTTCAACTATATTAACACCAGCTACTCGACAAACTGCAACAGCCGCACAATACAGAATAGAATGTGTATCACCAAGATCTTCGCTATTGTCTAAATAATCAGGCAATAACGAATCCAGGGCACCCACAAGCGCTAAATTTCGTTTATGAATGGGCAAACGGGACAATCGGGGTCTATTATTCCAATTCACATACCGGTACTCTAGAATCGCATCCTCCAAAGCGCTCCTTATCCTGTCATTGTATTGGGTACTTACAGATATAACTTCACCCTCCACTAATTCATCAACATCATTGGTATGTGATACTAACTGAGGTGTGCTAGTAGCTACCAAATCCACAGTGTGTGACGAAGAAGGGATAATCAAGCTATTCCGTAAGTCAGAGCGTATCCTCTCAAGTACTGCATCATCCAGCAGATGACAGCGCTGTATAGCTCGTACTTGATCCGACAATCGTTGTGCTGATACGTTGACAGCAGGTTCAAGCTCCTGAAACAAAGAGACTAGTCGAACACGGTACGCAGTAAGGTTTGTTCCCATCTCTGTGGCCCGATAATATGCCCGCATGACATTCTCATTGATAGAATTTGTCCACTTCATGCGGCGCACATTACCACCGGTAGCGGGGACCCTATTCGAGGTCAGTGGTCCTCGGGATCCTAAGCAGATCGGTGGCCGGCCTCTCCCCTGCCGACGTACAGGTGTTGGCGACGTCGGCGGAGAGAAAAACTCGTCACTTGAAGTCGAGCTCGACGCCTCAGCCACGGCCGGAGCTTCCGTTGTGGTTTCCGTGGCCGGCAAGACGGAGCGGAGCGACGAGTCCGGGGATGTTAATTGTGCTTTCGACCTAGCTCTTGTTATCATTCTACAGTCTTTCTTGGGTGGAAAAACACTTTCATGTATGTTGACATGACGTTAGACGTCATGTCTTACTTTACTTTATTTATTTTTGGTTTATCTATTTTAAGCATTTTTTTATGATATTTTTATATAAAGCATCCATTTTATTGTTCTTTAATTTGTTTAGCTTATTTTACGATATTGTAAATTATTGTAAAATCTATTTGTTTCGAAAATATGTAAAAGAAATGTCGACTGTTTTCAGTGTTGCTAGTTATTATTATTATTATTGTTATTATTATTATTATTATTATAAGTAGTGAGCAACCAACCTGTCCATATATTTGTAAATAGCAAAACTCGTAGCTATGGGTAACCCATTTAATTTGAGTTTAGTTTGAACATTTGTGTCTACTTTGATATCTTCTGTTTCTGGATCATAAGTAACAGTTGGAAGTCTTACTGAAAATAAAATTCCTATCATATTATGAGCAAGAAACTAAACAATATATCTATTTCATAAGTACTGATTGCAAACATGCTTTTTATTAAATTTAAAATACATGCAAATTTAGCATTATACTTACAGGTTTTTAAACTTGCCATCAATGTGATAATACAAGCGTCTACTAAGCTTCCCCCGTTATCTAGACAAAGCATATCACAGTACAGAACCCAGGCCAACTTATCTGGCACTATACAAAGATCTGTTAAATCAACGCATTTAGAGTTATTTATTATATCTGATACTATATTGCTGGTAACCTGAGCACTATCGGAAGGTGGACCAGGCCTATATTTAGATGAACATAATGGAGGAAGCTCTACATTAGTGATCAGAAACCCTTTATTTGGTTCTTCAGCTTTTGGAGTAGCTAGTTCCTGAAAAGCACAGATATAATTATGAGTATTCCAGACAATAACTACATTCAAAATTGAACAAATTTATGTTGATTAGGCTTGTAATAATTAGTGAACACAAGTTGTATATGTGTATATGCAAAAACCTGCTATTGCTAGCTTAAGTGAGTACCAAAATTATGTTATGCAGTTAAGCTAGTAATTATCTTAAACAAGCATTATTACTAAAAGGTAGAATATAACAAGAAGCTGATTGCTATAAAACAATTCATTTACCAGTTTAATCCCACAAATGACTGAAGTGTTCCCGCATTTGATTAAAGCAGATGCATCCGCCGTTTTAATAGCATCCACATTTAACTTTATATTCCTCTGTTCACTAAATGATCTTCCATCAGGTCTCACATTTTTAGATATATAATCATTAAAGAATTTTACTGGATGTATAAGTCTGAAAATGATAGAATATGTATTGTGTAAACAAAATGTTTTCAAACAAACAAATCGAGCTATGTAGGTTGTGCTCACTTATATACTTCAGACATCGTTCAGTTTATTTTATTAATTTGTGCTTGTTTGATGATATTTAAAATATCTTTTTCTATTGAATACTACACGGCCAAACTCGAGCTTTTTTTTCTCAAAAGTCGAAAACGTGTTTTTGACATCTCCGACAACTGTCAATTGACAGCGTTTTATGGTCTAAAAAAAAGGTGCATTATGAGAGAGTAGGTAGAATAATCGAAACAAATTGAAACATCGTTAATCGTTTTAAAATAGTAATACTAGAATTATGTTCTACATACATGATGTATACTACAAATATAGCTAAGAATACAAACAAGGATAAGGATCGGGGATGTATTTCTCAGATTGGACTCTTCATCATCAGCCTATCGCAGTCCACTGCTGGACATAGGCCTCTCCCATTGCACGCCACTTAGATCGATTTTGGGCTTGGACTCTTATTAGTCACTATTGTGGCTATGGAATGGAACCGGGAATGGAAACCGTTAACTTTAATTTGATTTTACTTTTGTTTTGTTTACACTTGGATACACCTGGTGCAAGGAATAGGTACCGCTTATTTAATGACTATTTTAAGCTCGAGGGGATACTCATTCTAAGCAGTCGCGAAACGTAGGATGCCACGGTGAACGCCACGGATTTCATAAGTACCACAAATGTGTTCATTTTAATTTTACGGTTCTGGACATAGTCATAAATATTGCACTAGGATTTTTATCTGTTTAACGAAGCTGCATTTTTGTTATGAGGGCAATGATTCTTGTTTCATAGTTTCTTTGGGTTCATAACATTTTTTTAAATTGTTTATAACTTTATTATCATTGTAAAAAATATACGAGACAAGTCTCGACTAGAGGCGCAAAATTTATAAGTACATATATAAATCGTACTTTTTTTCAAAATGTGTAACATACTTTTTTTTTAACGGGACTATGCCGCCCACGGAAGGAAAAAATTAAACTGTCTTGGAACCCGCAACGAAACTCCTTAGCAAAGCGGGACGCTAAAATGAAGTAAAAATAGGCATGCACCCTTTTAAACAGGTAAGTACACGGCCACTGTATTTGATTTCTATAATATGCACGGAATTTTACCCTAGTCGACACAAGAGTCTCGTAGTATACCGCCCAGATGTCACCTGTAAGTTTTTCAATATTATGTTACGTTCATTGTACCAAAGACATTCATTGTTTTCCTGAGGATATGATGAACAGACTGTTCACAGTTAGAGTCAGGGGTTCAGCATTGACACAATAACTAGGAGCAGGTAACTGGCGCGGGCCTTAAATAAGGCGGTGTTTAGGTGTGCAAACGTTACCTCACAACTGCGCGAGTCGGCTGCGCGCGACTCATCTTACGTCCAGATATTGTGCCATAGTGTTGCGTAATACAGTAGGTAGGAAAGTATATGGTGTTTGAGATATATAATTCTAATATGCTTTTATAAGCATATTCTATGTGCATAATTTATCTGTATGTTTGGTTCCACTAAAGTACGCAAACACGAAGTTAAAAAGTAATGGAATTAAATGACCGTTTAGACAGGCGAACTAAGGTCTTTATGCTCTTAGGTTATTATTAGTTATAGGATATTAGATCATTATTTGTTTACACATCATGCACATTTGGTGCATTGGCGGACTTAATGCCTAAAGCATTCTCTACCAGTCAACCATTGGGTGATGCAGAGAAAACAGGAAGTAGGTGCATTTTAGTTACAGTTGACTAAGACATTTAATATTGTATGCATACTTTGTACAAAATCATATATTACACACACATATACAAATCTGTCATATACTACACCTATACATATTAATATTCCACATAAGTACATACCTTATAATAGATAAATACAGTATAAAAGTACATAAATACATACATACACACGCAAATAGATAATGATAACAAGAAAATAAAAAGAAATCATAAGCAAGTTGATTCTGCCAGTGGTTTGACCAGATACTGCTTTACTTTTATTTTAAAGTAAAAAGTATTGGAAGCCATCCTGATTTCGAGTGGTTGGGCATTCCAAAGAAGAACGGATTGAATGAAAAAGGATGAGCCTATGAACTCAGACGTGAGGGACGGACAACGAAGAAAAAGGTTATTTCAGGCGATATAGCGCTCGAAGAGTACCAGTAGCCTTTTAGCACAGATTTGTAATCATTACTTGCTACCCACATAATTTGTATGTCAAAATCAATCAAATCAATCAAAATCTCATTAACAATAAATGTTTTTTTTAATACGCAGGTAATTTTATTGATGATAACGATTTAACATTTATTGCGAAAGGACTAGAACATGCAAAACGCTATTCAATAGAATATGTGTTATAAGTTTTGAACGTTCCTGTTCACACAGACTGAGTTCACAGTATCATGGTATTCCTGTGTTATTTTTGCGTGGGGTTTTATTAAAGCCGTAACGTGTAACAATTCATTCATCAATAGCCTTTAATAGTCCACTGCTGGACATGGGCCTCTCCTTAGAAAGGAGGTTTTGACCTACTATACCTTGCTAGCCAGACGGGTTGGTATAAGGTTTGTGTCAAGTTTTCCTTTTCTTTGCAGTGCTGTTGTCGTGCATATTTTGCTCCCTTATTCACTTCTTATCCACACACACTCTGTATTCTTAGTCCGTCTTCACACGAAAAATAACCTGGTTAAAGATCTTGGATTGCCAAGAGCTTCAGTAAGCTCTTTTCTTAAACGAATGTCCAAAGCGGCATTGCTAGCTTCGTATCAAATATGGTTAGGTAGAGGGGGTAACACAGCAGACAGTGGAGGTGAACGCTGACGCACCGCAACCCGCCTTAATAGGTTGGTTTGAGTTAATTGAAAGGTCACTTGAAAAACCAATCATATACACGTGTGCGTCACATCAAAGCTGGCACCGGCACTGGCTTAACCATTCATTCTGCATTTCTAGGTTCATTGGGTGCACCTTGTAGGTCTCGTTTTCATCTTGTTATAGAAAAGATTTGGTTATCTCTTTGTCTGTATCTCTTCTAGAATTTTCCAATTCATCTCTACTGGACTGCATACCCACCATAAAGTTCTTGTGGATTTGGAGCCGTGACTCGAGCTCGGATGAATTTTAGTCTTTTGTAAGGAATCTAACAATTTCGTCTTGTGATGTTGAAAGGACATGCATTTTGGTAACTCTTAGATGTTTGCAGAATTCCGAAGGTCTTTTTAATTTCATTCCAAAATTATTCGAATCCCTGTAAAATAGTGCTAGCCCGAGCCTCGACTTCAATGTCTTAGTAACATTCGCGTAAAGTGTTCTTAAGTGGTTCTTTTTTATATCGTATACCAGAAATGTCCCATTCAGAAGTGATGTTAAGTAGCTGTCGTAAATCCAAGCTTTTTTACGTTACTTATTGGTCTACCTTGTTAATGTAATGTAATATCACTACCCCAATTCATCCCGTGGGTGTCGTAAGAGCCAACTAAGAGAGTAAACTACGCAGGACACCAGCACTGCAAAAAGGAGGAAAAGCTCCTCAATGTATGATGTATTACCTCTGCAATGATTAAAATGTCACACACATCACATCAACAGCCTTTAATAGTCTACTGCCGGACTTAATTGTATTTTGTATAAAATTTATTAATAAAAAATCCATTGATAGAATAATAATACATAAACAAATAAAGAATTTAGAATCTACCGTAAAAAGCAAATGACAATCTGGTTTCGCTAATATATAATGAAGGAAAAGGCAGAATGAGTTTTTTTAAAAGTTTTAAAAGAACATAGACTAATTTTCTTACTTAATTTACACGTGGCAATCTAAAGTAAGTGAAGTTTTACAATACACAAAGAGACAGTTGGTATTCTTTCTTATTTTTCAAACTTAAACTTCGCATACTAGAACCTACTATTGCTTAGTTTCTGACAAATACAAAAGCAAAGTCAACCGACACCCAGTAAAACCAATTTTTATTAAGTTGTAGAGATTGATGTAAGATTTTTTGAAATTATGTTTTTAGACACAAAAATTAGACCAAAATCACTTTAGTGAGAATAAGTGCTACAACTTTTAACATTGTGACAATTTTTAGTAATATTTGTCAATGGACTCCATCTCTATCTTAAAAACTAAAATAAATGTCAAAATTGATTGACATAAGTTCTCGAATTTGTCGTTTCTTTTTGACTTGGTTTTGGTGCACGAAACTCCAAGGTGTGTGTTATTAGAAAGAAATCCTATTTAATCATGTTCAATGGATGCCGAAAACTCAATATTTAAATATTAAAAGTGTTGTTAGAGTCTGTTAAAATTCTTAGGCGCCTTAATTTGTGGAATTATTTCAGATAACAATGGCAAAACCTAAAGGAGAGAGGAAAGGCAAATCAGCCATCAACGAAGTTGTTACTCGTGAATACACAGTGAACCTACACAAAAGGCTTCATGGAGTCGGATTTAAGAAACGCGCTCCACGTGCGATCAAAGAAATTCGTAAATTCGCAGAGAAACAGATGGGAACACCCGATGTTCGAGTAGACACTCGTCTAAACAAATACCTCTGGTCAAAAGGAGTCAGGTAAAATATATTCTATCTTACTACACGAAATGCTACTCACTGTTTTCATGAGCTATTTCATTTATTTTTATTTGTATGTCTATACATGGTGACTATGGGACTAAATACAATAACATTAAGGTTATAAAGTGCTCGGTTTACTACAAGGACAAATTACAGAGTTCTAACTAGATTCAAACTAAGCATAGCTTATAGCATGGTTTCTAGATATAAGAATTAATAATAAATGCCTCTGTATTATTATTCTATGGAACAAGTAAACAATTGCAAATGTATGTTTATATAGATAATTTCCGTAAAAGGGAATCAAACTTGCAACCTGCCACACATTGCCAGTTAATACCTAGGAATATACACAGTATTTGTGAATTTTAGGAATCTTGAATGTTTTATTGTGCATTTCAGGAATGTCCCCTTCCGTGTCCGTGTTAGGCTGTCACGAAGACGTAATGATGATGAGGACTCTGCCCACAAACTGTTCACTTTGGTGACCTATGTACCAGTAGCCTCCATCAAGGGCTTGCAGACAGAGAATGTTGATGCTAGCCAAGAATAAACTTTAAGCTTAAGCTATTTACTGAATTTTCTTTGCAAATCCCAACCTGTATAATTATAATCTGCAAAAAGGGTTTCTAGATTTTTGTAATTTCAGTGTAGGTATGAAGATTTAAATCAATGGCTGGCCCGTTGGTTTAGTGATGAGTGATCCTGACTGCTTAGGCAGAGGGTTCAATTCTCACCCAGGAAATAGTTGAGTGGTGAGCACCCTCACTTGTTCTGTATCAGGTCACAATTTATCTATAATATGTATGAAATTTGATATAATATGTATGAAATGATTTAGAAATATTTAAGTATATTCATCAGCAGTCTGTTTACCATAGGCTCTGCCTGGTTTGTATCAGGTGGCCACTTGTGACATGTGTCAAAGTATATCTCCATGTGGTTATGGATTAAGAATATGGAGTGTCACCACCCCTATTCATCTGGTGGGTATTGTAAGAGTCGACTAAGGGAGCAAACTATGCAAGACAACCACAGCAAAGAGAAGGAAAACTTGTCACAAACCTAAGACCAATTCATCTTGTCACAAACCTTAGAAAAACCAGTGTGGTATAGTATGCAAAAACCTCCTTTCTAAGGAGGGGCCTATGTTCATTAGCTGTTGACCACTAAAGGCTGTTGATAATGATGATGATTATTATTTGATGGTGGATAATACACATTTGACTCCCATATCACTAAAAGTTGGTGGCAATACAGTCTCTTTTTTGTTGTAGTTAATTATGTTTGAAATTTTTACATATATGTTAAATAGTCAAATGTTTTTGGGATATAATAATAATATTCGGACATCTGACACACGCCATCAATTTTGAAACTAAGCACATCTTGTACTATGAAAGTTAGATTGACTGATAGAAAACATAAATGCATTTTTTTTGTAAATACATATACATATATATAAATATATTACACATAGAAACTACCTGAACTCTGAAACAAAGATTTGCAGATCATACATACATTTGGTTTGACCCGGGAATCAAACTCGAGACCTCAGCACAGCAGTCGCACACTCTAACACCACCACTGAGGCAGTTATCCACATGTATAATTTTAGTGCTATATAATTTTAGTGTTGTGGACAAACATGAAATTGAATGATGACTCTTGCAGATTATTGTTACAGATGTATTTGAATGTGCTTTAGGTTAAAATTATCATTTATCTATTATAAATATCGTGTTTTGCGATATAATGGGTTAAAGAAGGGAAAATGATCTCTTGTCCTACCAAATTATTAGTTATTTAAAGTTAATTTTAATAATCACTTAACACACATTTTATACACAGCCATCCGATCCCAAGCTGTATGTAGCACGTACTATAGTATAACCAAACTACTGACAAACATAGGTACATACATTGCTGAAAACATGACTATAGGTAAATAAAGCTGAGACGCAGATCAGATAGTTAAAAGTTGTCTTGTGTGGAATTTATTTGTTGAAATATTCAATAACTTGTGCAAACTAAATTTATAATTTCAGTTTATAATTTTTTTACCTAAAATTTTAATTTGACTGCTAATGCAGTAAAAATATTCTTTTTTGATGAGTACTAAGAAACTAAAAAGTTCATTATGCTATTCATGTTAAATTTTATTTGTAAAATCGTAACAATGTTGGTATAAGAAAACAGTAATTCACATAAAAATTTAGTATCGTTAGGTAATTGTGCAGCTAAACTTTAAGCATACAACTGTCGTTCAGCTTATTGTTATGTGGCACGAACAAATAAAACAGTAATGTATCAGTAATTACTAATCCTGCAAAGCGCAATTAAAGTTCTTGCGCTATCATGGATTAAAAGTATTTATATGATGTGAATATGATGGAAAGGGTTTCCCTCTATCTGGCAGAATCTTGATGCTCCAAAATTTATTTCGCACAACACACTTGGCAGAAACTTCTTTAAACGAATATGTTTGAGGCATAAAAACTATTGATTATAATTAATGTTCGGCCGAATGTTTATATGTCCGAATTTACAATGGCATACTTTTAAGATAGCATAATTTCATTTAGCATAAACACCTTTTGCAGAGTTAAAATTCCGCATAATTTCGTTTAGCATAACGTTTATTTAGAACGACGATTATTTGGTACAATTTCACATGGCATACTATAAAGATGGCAGAATTTCACTTGGAATAATTTTTTTAGGCAGATTGCCATAAAAAATCATTTTTAACCTTAAATTAAAATAATATCTTAAAAAGTCATGTCTTGCTACAAAAGTTTGTGACGGAAACGCATCGCCGCAAAACCGACTCCACGTAGACTTGTCTGCCCTACCCCTAGAGTGCAATTTAAGCCCGCATAGGCGCGGAGGGGCGAGGCGGCCCGCGAGCTGAGGAGGAGGTGGTTGAACGTTGAATTCATCTGCGACGATAAGCTCGCGTGGGATCGCCAGAGCTCCGGAGCGCCGGAGCCATGACAGATATGCTGCATTCTTGCTTGCATGCTGCATGCTTGCCTGCATGCTGCATGCTTGCCTGCATGCTGCATGCTTGCCTGCATTCCTGCTTGTATGCTGCGAGCTTGCCTGCATGAATGGTGTATGCTGCGTGCTTGCCTGCATGAATGGTGTATGCTGCGTGCTTGCCTGCATGAATGGTGTATGCTGCGTGCTTGCCTGCATGAATGGTGTATGCTGCGTGCTTGCCTGCATGAATGGTGTATGCTGCGTGCTTGCCTGCATGAATGGTGTATGCTTCTTATAGGGAAATAAAAACCAAATCCGTCACGTAAAAATATATATCAATCAATTTTAATTTTTATTTTAAGAAATAAAAAAGATGGATAGATAGTCTTTCAATTATTATAGATATGAAATATATGCCAAAAGATGATTATCACTGTAAACTTTCTGAGATATGATAGTTCCGCCTTTTAATGACTATCGATATGAAATTTAGACGATCAAAGACGATTCTGACTATGAACTTTCGGCGATATGATGGTTCTACTTTTTAACTATTATGGATATGAAGTTAATGCCTTAAGATGATTATGACTTACAGAATTATGAGTTTTGAATGTATGACAAATGAGTGTCTGCCAAACGATACACGACGAATTTGGGAGTGCTGTTTTCATAAGGAAGTCTGGCGTCAACAGTCGATGTAAAGTAAATTTCAAGAGGGGTGTGTAAAGTATTGACAACACTCAAAGGGTTTGGAGTAGCACACAAGCTGTTAGAAGGTAAGTTAGTCAAAACGAGGTCTAGTAACGTTCAGAATTATTAGTAACATCGTTAAGTAAGTTGCTTGAGTCTGTTCATGTAAGTAAAGTCAGTCAGTAAATGACTGATGCCCGGTGGTGAATACACATTATCAGAGTCACTTAAAAGGCCCAGTTGATACAAGCCAAATTGAAAGCACCGACTACACAGGTTTGATTGTTCAAATATAGTGTTACAGCGGTCCAGAAAGGGTTCTAAAGTTGAACGGGTCACCGGCGGTGGTAGGTAAACTACGCACAGAGCTATTTGTCGTATTGACTTGACGTATTGTATTAATGGTTGCATCATAGCAGGCAAAGTATCTTACTCGCTAGGTCAATTGCCAATGTCGTTGGCAAAGTAAAGGGATTAATGTGTTTCATCAAGCTTATATTCCCAATAATGCAATATACGCGCTTTGACGTGGAGTTGCGGAACAGCCCGTGTAAATAGGCTTGTGTCCACTAATAACAAATTGCTTGCTTTATAGTTTCAAATTATAAATGAAGAGGCATAGATAAGAAAAAACCAGACTATTTCTCATAATAGTTAGATTATTAATATTTCTTTTTAATAAATGTGAACAAAATAGGCATTAAGTCACGTGACAACGAACACAAATCAGAAAGTGTTACGTCACGCCACGCAAAACATCATTGTTGTTGTTGACGTTTTCATACAATACTCCTTATAGTTTTTCGTTTTTAGCGGATTTTCTCACCTTAATACAGTTTCATTTGACACTGGACACAGATGTAAACAGTTTTGTTTGGCAGACTGTGACGTCATTCATACCGTAGCAACGCACGCTGTGGTAATCGCGAACCGCCGGTCTGACCCTCCAACAACAACAACCAACATCTCTGTATATAATAATAATAATAATAATAATAATAATATACTTTATTCAAAACCTTGTTACATTTCACAATAATTAAACGATAATGGCTACAGTAGTATAAACTGTGTCGTAGCCATTAACGCCCACATCCGAATCCAACAGTACAAGTACTTACAACTAAGTTTACAATTTTTACAATGAGTAATTAAATGTGTTTTGGTACCTATCTTGTGTAAATGGTGTTTGAGTGTATGTTAAGTGTAGGCGAGTGTATGTCAGTGTACGTGTGATGAGTGTAAGGTGTATACGTTTTCATGCTATGATGTCTTCAGACTGACTGTACGTTAAGGAAAGAAGCCACACTATCAATTTGTGCTTACATTTTTTATAGGTTAGGGGATATATATTTAGCAACCTATTAACCCTATTATATAGTTTGGGGCTAAGAAAGTAAAACTGCTGGGATGCCAGAGCAGATCTATGTGGTATACTAAAATGTACTCTGTCGGATCTACGTGTATTTTTAATAAAATTAATGTCATACGGGGAGGCAGTATGCTTACGCAGAATAGCCCGCAGTATATATAATTGCCGCACCGTTAGTACCTTACAGATACTGTAAAGCTCAGACGTAGGGAATCTTCTAGGTTTACCAGTCATCACCTTAAGTATACATCTCTGAGCTCTCTCCAAACGAACCATATATGCTTTGCAAGCACCACCCCAGGACGTAATGCAATAACCGATTATAGATTGAACTAGCGCATAGTAGACCATCTTCATGGTGTTAAGATCTGTAGCATTTCTCAGCTTTTTAAAAATATACAACAACTTTCTAACCCTTGTAACAATTTGTTCAATCTGAAAATTCCAAGTAAGATTATTGTCGACTATTACCCCAAGATATTTAATGCAGTTACAACGAA